TAATTACAATGGGTAGCAGGCACCCTGGATGCACTGTCACAATAAAGTATGTACCTGAATCAGCCCACTACTTTTATTGCTCATATGAATTGATCTGTCCTGACCTCCCCAGACCCTAACTCCACCAGGCCGGGCTTCCACTGCACCAGAGCCAAGCTTCTGTCCCGGCCCTGCATAAAAATAAATGAGAAGCTATGGGGCTGCTCGCTAAAGCCGGGGGTTATGGTTCGATTTCACGTCAGCGCTCCAGGAGGCAATTTAAAGCAGCCAGCATGCTAATCAACCTGCTATTAAAGGGACTCCACTTTCTCTCACTGTTATTGCAACAAGGCCCAGAAGACAAGCTAGGATTTAAAAAGGAAAGTAACTGGGCCTGGGGATTTTAGACAAGTTGTAAAAATTACGTTAACACATTTTGAAGTTTGATATACTGCTGAAGTTTGAAACCAAAGCATAAAGCAGAATTGTTCCCGCAAAAAGTATTCTAGTATTTCAAGATTGTTAAAAGTATCAGCGCCAATAAATACATGACAGAAGAGGATACATAACGAGTCATAGAAGTTCATAATTCAACCCTCTCAAAACTTATCGTAGAATGGAAAAATTACCAAAATTTTCCCACTAGTACAAAGAAAAGTCCCCACCACGATACACACTGAGCCCCAAAGTTATTGTGATATAGTAATGATCGTTAGAGGCCATTTGGCATTTATGTCTTGACTAAAATAATACATTTTCTATACTTTACATATTGTGTTGGAGAATTATGAACTGTGAAAAACAATATCAAAAGGGTTAGCAGTCAATTTATAGAACTTACATAGGCCTAGAGCTCATCTCTTTTCCACAGGTGAAGTTCAATTCATGAGTTTAAATAAAATGCAGGAGTGAAATGAGGATTCTCTGAACAGGCCCAGGATACAGCAAAAGCACATAAAGAATGATTAAAGGGCCCATATTATGCTATTTTCTGATGTACTGTATGTTATAATGTTGTTTCCTCATCACAAACATACCTGGAGTTGTAGAATAGTAAAAAAGGACGGCGGAGGCACTCTGATTTACGACGCATTTATTAATTGTTATGCCATAGCTTTTCAACTACTTAGTCTTCATCTGACCAGTGTGACCACTTATAGGGATCGTGACCCCAGACACGTGATAATTACAAACAAAATATCCAAAAACACTATACATGTTGAATCCAAGTATATTGACAACAGAACAGATAGTATATTCATAACACAACAGATAAAAAACACTGTTCTGTATAAGTTGGAGCATAGTCAACGGTACATATATCCCAGTACACTTCAAGAATTATTTTCAGTCAACATTATCACAAGTAGAAAGCAAATTTGTAAGAAAGGTTATTAAAAATACCCGGGTATTTGGTGGCCAGTTGTCAAGAGGGGGCAACTTGTCTCCTCTTGACAACTGGCAACAACGTGATAAAGACATCTTGAGGCAGTAATTAAGAAAGCATATGTTTAGAAGCTTTATAGTTCAAATAGTTTGTATGAGCAGCTGGAGTTGTACCTGGAGTTGTGTTTTGCTTCATTCGCACATGTTTAACACAGAAGCCCTGTACATTTAGGTTGAGTTCTCTCAAATCAAAAACCCTCTAACTTGTGATGCCATGTGGTTACAGAGGATGTGCTCCACGGTGTTTTTAAACTCCATACCTTCACTAGAATCATTGGGAAAATTTCAGCCATGACATTCTCAATCAACACTAAACAAACAACAGCTTTGGAAACATTTGTGAATGAAACAAAACTCAACCCCAGGTCTGCTTTTGATGAGGTAAGAATGTTCTAATAGAGTCCATTTTGTGTAATACAGGAAATTTAAAGTAAAATTAGATGTCATAGAAAGTACCTGGTTGGGTGTTCATCCTCCTGCTGCCATTACCTCACATGGTCCCAGTGGAAGCACAATGTGACCCTATAGTCTGAAAAGTCCTCAAATAATTCAATACTCTTAATATCCCCTTGGTATTGGTTGCAACCACAGAAACGTGATAGCGTTCATTCCCCAGCTTGTGGCCTGGGCCCGTGGGTCAGGAGGTAGCACATCACACACTGCTGCTGTGACTTAGAGGTTAAACTAATCAGGCATGACTTTCTCCCGTGGTCTCAGCATCGGCCTGAGCTGTGGGAGGATAGGGGTTGTTATCACATGGATGTAAACAGATTCAGTAGAGGGCACTGTTCATATCATTTACATACCATTTTAGATATAAATACAATACAACTTCAGCTGATAGTAGGCTATAGAGGCCAGCTGGTTACATTGTTTTCATAGCCTGCAGTAAAATGGTTAGCCAGGCTGGAGCCACCTAGTGCCTCCGCTCAGTTTCATTTCTTTCCAGCGACTAGGTCAGGAATTGGAATACACTAGATGGTTCACAAAAACCCCGGAAGTGTGAGTTCGGGCACCAGCCAATCAGCGAAGAGACATATATTCTGTGTTGTCAACGATTCCCAAGATCAAGGATTTAAAGCCGGAACAAAGAGAATGTTTGATGAATTTTATCAAGGGGAAAGACGTTATTGCCCTTCTTCCTACGGGATTTGAGAAAAGCTTAATATACCAGTTAGCCCAGTTAGTGGTGCATTACATACATCACGACCAAATAGCAGCGACTGGTTAAATGAAAAAAGTACTCGCCAAACATTGATGGAGCGAATCCTAACACTGCGAGGTCAGACGGTTTCTATGAAGTGAACCCGGCTGATGAATCAGGCTAGTAAATGGTCACATTTTTATACAGCACTTGTCCAATAGTAAGACACTCAACACGTTTTACACTAAAGACTAAAGTGTCTGGCCCAAGATCATAACAACAGCATTCATTTGTGGAAGCTGGAATCGCACCCTCAACCTGTGGGCCAGTGGATCTGACCGTTCAACCAATGATCAAGAGCTAGATTCAAACTGTCAACCTTTAGATCAGTGGACAAACTTTACCAGCTGAGCTCCTGTGGCCCAGTGTGGAAAGGTTCAATCAGGTCTAGTTAAATTACTGATAGGCCTAACTGACTATGAATTAAATGAGATCATGAAATAATCCATAGGTACGTTTCCTTTTTTTGGAGTAATGTCATTGTGTAGGGTTGGAGAGGTAGCCCCATTAGATAGATAGGCCTGTTTTTTATTGAGGATTACTTTATTTCCATACCTGAAATTTATTAAGTAACAGAAAATACTGACAGTGACAATTTACCCCCAAATCTTCTGTATTGTTTCAAATCAGCCGGGTTTATTTCCCCAGCAGGCGCATGAATCTGAGTTCACTTCGGCGTAAAATTGGCTGGGAGTGTCCCTGTTTGGTAACGGTGAACTAAAGCAGCCTTGTGGACCATAATTAATTCACATCGGGTCAGACCTCTGTGACTCAGTTAAACGCTCTGAATCGGGACTATTATTCAAACCAACAGAGTTCTGAGATGCCAGTCAATCCGAAAAGCTTTTATGAGGCTTTAACCTTGAAACTGCATTTGCTGCAAAGTGGCAATGAGATCAGGCTGTCCAAAATGTGTGAATCTGAACTGCAGCTATGTTTATAACACAGCCATTTTCACCTCCAACATCCTAACCAGGGATGGAAAATTTAAACAATCTCTCACTTGGCAGATGAGATAAGGGCCAACCAGTCATGAAAGCTGGCCAACACTGCCCCCTACAGACGGAAAGTGTTTTTGCATCCTGCATTAGTCTCAAACAGCAAAGATCTCGTTTCATTCAACCCCTAAGTATTGGATTACATTTTGCCTGATGAATGTCTTCTGCTGGATCTCCTGATGTATTCTGGCCTCTATACTTCTCTTGATTGCAGAAATGTGTTTGAAGCAAAACTTAAACCTCAAGTGCCAAAAAGAAAACAACAAATGCTAATAAGAAATTGTGCTCATGAATCACTAAACCCAACGATACAACGTTTACTGGAAATTATGCAAAATAATCACAATTCACAAAATGTAAAAATCTCACAAGGCACATAAAACATGATAAAGCATAAACACCAATCAACAAAAGACGACAGTTATAAACACACCCTGAGGTGATTCACATGAATCAAACTGTAAAAAGATAAAATACAATATTAACTGCAATGTTAAATAGGAGTATTTTAAAGCAGATTTTTAACTGACAGCTAGTGTTGACTTCTGATGTTATGTTGTATATTATGATGTTATATTATGATATAAGTACATAAGTAAGTTTTTATTTGTATAGTGCTTTTCACAAATGTCACAAAGATGCTTTACAGTGCATTATTCAGTCACTCCATACCCAGTGATATAAGCTTCTATTGTAGCCACAGCTGTCCTGGGGCAGACTGACAGAAACACAGTTGCCAATCACACACAGCACTTTCATACTAGGCAATGTGGGTGAAGTGCCTTGCCTAAGGACACAACAATTTTGGTTTTGGACACTGGCGCCCCACTGTGGCACCTGATTTTCCCAGAGGTCTCCCTTTAAAGTACTAACCAGGCCCAGCCCTGCTGAGCTTCTGAGACCTGATGGGATCAGGCTTTGACAAGCCGGTATGAACACAATGTGTGTGCATTGACATACGATGTTAGTACTCTCACGGATTAATTAAATACTTATAACAAAATAAACATACTTACATTTGGTTCATAAATATATTAAAATCTAGCTAAAGCCAAAGAAACATTATATAAAACTAAATTGATTTGGCAAAATCAGTTCACAAAAGCATAAAAAAAATACATTAAATAAGCTGTTCTTTTTCTTCATTTAATAGTTTCTTTCTTTTTTATTTGGTTAATCTTTACTTTATAAGCCAGTTTTTAACCTGTCACAGCTCAAGAAGAAAAAGTGACAGAAAAAGTATAAAATAGTATAAAATATAATACAAAATTTATTTCATTTCTTTTGTTTTCAGTAACTTTTGTTTTCTTCTTATAATTCAAATAGTATAAAAAAGCTATTAAAATATGACTTGGTATAATCATGTTGCTGTGTTCAGCCTACAATTACAACCAACAATTTGGGCAAACTAAACTTAGATATTAGTACTGGCAAAACTTCTGAGGATCAAATTATGTACTAAAAAAAAAGAGTATTTTAATTTATCTTGTCATGCCGTCTTTCTATTATCAAAGCACCAAAATAATTACAGCAAATTAACAACCATGTCTCTATTGTATTGTATTTGACCTCTAAAGTTCACAGCTTCAACCCGGTCATACTTTACTGTTTCCATCGTACACCATGGTTCCCCTCTGCTCTTCTTTAGTTGCTCCATTGCTTTGCTCAGAGTCTCTTTCTTCATCTCCTTTTTTGACATCCTTTGCGCTATCACCCATGTTTTTGTTTTCCTTATCATCATCATCTCAGCCACACACTTTCAGCCTGAAAACAATAGAGAAATAATAACAGTTGAAGTGTGTCAGAAAATGTTTTTTAAATGGCTCATTGCAGTCAAAAGGTTACAGGTTTCTTAAGATTGTTGCTTAGTTTAATTGTTCATCCAGAATTTACACTAACAAACACAGTGTAGTGATACTTAATAATTGTCTACAATACTACAGTGAAAGTCATTTCAAGCAGAAAGGAATGTAGCATTTTCAAGAACACAATTTTAAAGACAACACAATCATTACATGTTTTATTTGTACTACGTTTTACTTAAATACCACTTGTTTTCTTTCAGACTTTGCTGTGGCCGTTTTCTGTGCTTTGTCTTCAGATGACTTGCTGAGTGAGTTCTCTACATCACTGGACTCAGAGGATAGCGTTTGGTCCTTGCCTGATTCTGCAGCTGGACTGTTTTCAGAACTCTGAGTTTCTGCCATCAAAATAAACAAAACAACAACTTCATCATTAGCAACAGACAGAACAAAAAGAATGTCAGTTTAACCAATAATTTAACCAGTAGTAGAGGTCAAAAATCAATACAATGATTATATAAAGAATGACGACACACCTGGTGGTTCATTTTGAGGTTGTGATGCTTCTTTTGTTCCTTTATCATTTGAGATCCCACTATCTTGTTCTACGTCTCTCTGTGGTTTCTTTTCCAGACCGGCTGTTTTTGATTCTTCACCATCACTTTTCTTTATGTCCTCAGATTCAGCTGACTTGCTTTGTGAAGACTGTGGCTGTGACGCTGAAACTAAACACAGATATTTGACTATTTGATTTGATTATGATAATCTCAGGAGTGGTGACATACATGGCATAGACACTACAGAAAAGTAATAAATATGTCATAATATCATTAAGTATAATCTAGATTGATTTTACAACCATAGATGCAGACTGTTGTAAAAAGTTATTACAGTGGTTTACATGACGTGTGTTCAGTAGCAGTACTATAGGTCAGTCATAGTCATTGTTCTCAGTGTCAGTGTCTCAGTTTGAGTTAAATTATCTTGCACATTAAAAATCGGGTGTGTCTGTGTATTTGTGTTTTCTAAAAGCAGAAGATAGAAACTAACTGCATTGCATCTTTTAAAATATTTGCATTACTGTGGTTTCCTTGTGCTCATTTATAATGTTTTTCTGCATTACTTTTATATATACTTTGTATTACTGGGAAAATGTTGATTAGATTTTTTTTACTGTAACAATTTAAAAGTTGTTTTGGAGAGGCTGATAGGATCGTATTGTATTCTTTCAGTAATTATCACTTGCCACTAATTAATAGCATTCATCCTTTTTGTCAGCTTCAGCTCTATTTCTTTGGAAAAAATATATACCAGGTAAAACAGATAATAAAATGTTTGGTAAATCACATAACACAATATTCTTCTCCTTTAAAAAAACATGTTCTACAAAATTAGGACTTCTATTTGTAAATGTTTATCTTTTGTAGGTCAAGAAAAAATAGAAATATTTTTATTTGATGCTAAAACATGAAGGGAAAATGAAAAAGCTAACAGAATCAGTGAAGGACAAAGCAAACAAATAAATATTCAGTAAAAAAAAAAAGTGGTTGTATTTAGAGGTGGGAGATATTGAAAAAATACACTGAATAGTACACAGAAAAATGTTTGCTCACAACTGATGGTTTTGGAGATATGCAAAATTACAATATAATGAGTATATTGTCCATAATTATAACTATTAAAAAATATATCAAAGCATTTAAAACTGACAGACCCACCTAGTGTAATCTTCCAAACAAGACTATAAAGTTATATATTCTGGTATTATGGTCCAGTCATATTTTGTGCTAAACTCAAACTAGCTGAGATACAAATTTTTGTCGATATGACCCACACACATTGCTCTCTTACCTGGAGAAAATGGCGCATCTGTGAGGTGTTTCGGTGGTTTATTGTTCTCTGTACAGTCTGGGTTTGTTACTGTATTTAATTCAATTTGCTCTTCATTTGTAGGTTGCCCATCGTCTTTTGAAGAATTGTTCTGAATGTGTTCATCATGGTCTTTGTGATGTTCATTTTGCTGTTTGCCTGCATCCATCTGCACAGCTCTCTGCAGCTCTTCTGGAAAATTTACAAACAATGCCTTTTACTTCTTCATTAGTAAAACTGTATTTGTGTTTGTCCTTAATTCTCGAACCTGGATTTTCGTATGGATCTTTAAAGTCCTCTTCTTTCACTTCTTCCTCTGTAGTAGGAACATTATTAAGCTCTTTGTGTTGTAAGTCCATCTCTCTTCCTGAATCCATCTGCCCTGGGCCTGGTGCTGGCTTTGGCACACTGTTGCTCAGAGATGTAGGTGGAGATGTGGCTTTTCCTCCAGTGTCATTTCCTTTACCTGTTAACATCAGGATTATCTATTAATAATTCACTTCATGTTATTACAGTATTCAGAGTTGATAATGGATGTTGGCAGTGGCAAAACTACAGACCTGGAGATGTCCCTGTATTTTCAAATTTTTTACGTATATCCTTAACGTTTCCTGGGGACATAGTATAAAAAAAATGCATGCATTGAATCTTTTATCAAAATTTTACTATTAGCGGCTTGAGTTCATTCAGGATGTTTTTCACATTCATGTACCACATACAGTACTGGTATAAAATGTAATAAAATCATTAAACTACTTCACAATTTAATGCAGCTTTGCCTCTTTACCTTGACTCTCCTTTATCACATTTTTTTTATCACATTGCTGAGGAAGTCTTGGTGATGATGACTTTGTTTCATGCAGGTGGATATTACTTGTTATTAATGGCTTCGACTCATCTTGATTTTGCTCTAGAGAAGAATTTGAAAAATACAATAATGCATAATGAAATGTTTGGTAAATCAGAACATTTTGAGTCATCAGAACCAACCTGCTGCTTTCAGCTGTTTTTCACAGTCGTCATTCTTTCCCATTTTTGAACATGCTAAAGGAAATGAAGACAAAACAATAATAACGTCGCTATGATACGATTAAAAATGATTTGGTAATTGGTTAATAAAAAAGTACCTCTCTTTCTTCGATACGAATATATGATGAAGAAAACGCCAACAATGCCAACAGAATTATGGAAACAATGACAATGGGTAAAACTATAGACAGATGCTCTTGAGTTTCTTCTGCTAAATAAAGTAAAATAACACATGTCAAAATACAAATTCTTATGTTAAACCGTGCTAAATAAGATGATGAAAATAACTGACTATTATGTAGTAAATAAGAACAACAACTGCACCATATGAAAAAAAGTAATATATTCACTTTTACACATTCAATGGACAAACAAGGATAATTAAGAACAATTTAAAAAGATAAATTAAAAGGAAAAACATTTTACATTTTAATTTAAAAAATAATTGTAACTCTCTAAACCTAAAGTGTTATTGCAATATATTTAGTTTCTAGCGATATCGATATTGCCACATGACTTTGATATTTTTGTCATTTATTGTGAAGCCCTGTGAGTGTACCCATAGTACTGACAGGTTTCACATGACATCACCACGTTCTATGAAACAATATTAATTATTACAGATGGGGGTAGCTAAAATTAAAATTGTAAAAATGCAAAATTATGTTGTAATACAGTGAGTTCTTGGGAAAAAAACAACAAGTTCAACATTTCTGCATTTACCTTTTGGATATTTCATGGCAAAGTACAATGTAATCAATAGCAAAAATTGGCCCTTGCCCCCATCTGGGAGAATAACATTGTCAAAAAACATCTGAAAACTACCAATATCAGGCAATAACATTATAATATTTCTATAAGAGAACCAACCTGTGTAACAGTCTTTGGCCTTGAAGGTGCTGGTCTCTTCCTGCAGGGAGTTATTTGCGGTGCAGCTGTACGTGATGTCATCGTGCCCGTTGCCCAGGGCGATGGGTAAAGTTTGGCCCAACTCGCTTTTACCTTCCAGTCTCCAGATAAACGTCAGAGCTTCTGGAGTGTTGGACGGTGAAGAGCAGAACAGTGTTGCAGAAGTAATAGTACTGTTCTGTTTTGTACTGTTCATCTCACATCTGATCACAGGTTTGGAAACTTTGTCTGCACAAAATAACATCAGTAAATTAACAATAATCATAAAATGTGAGTTTTCTTTTGTTTTAAAGCTTGTAGAGTTGGTGACGAAACATAACTGAAAATGTTTAGATTTTTTGACATTTTTGGAGGTTTACTTTGAACAAAATTGATGGTCTCTTTATAATTATTAGGTATTAATAATTTATTAGGTGAACCAAATGGAAGTAAGAAACAGTATCCTTAAAACAAAAAACAATCAAAACTTGTGATAAGCCTGTGAGACAACACAAGATTTGTTCAGTGTACAATAAATAATAGGTTACAGGAGCTATTTCGATATTGCATCACACTTTGTCTTTCCCTTTGCCTTTTACTCACCTAGGACCTTGAGCATATATTGTGAGCGGTGCAGCCTCACGCCGATGATGGCGTCCAGAACATACTCTCCACTGTCTTCATCTGATGTCTGAGATGGTCAGTGTGGCTGTGTTCCTGGACAGAGTTACCCTGCCGTGATATGGCTCAAACACGCGCTCATCTGTACCATCAAACGTGATCACTTTGTCCTCATTGTGCTTCCACAGAATGTCATCAGGGGGTTTGTTTAGGGCCAGAGTCAAGATGACCTCTCTGCCCTTAAGGACGTAAAGCGGAGATAGACCTGTAACTGTACAACAACATTATTACATCATCATTACAAGTTAATTCATTTTATATAAGCAATACGGAGATAACCTTCAGGGGGGGGCCCTAAGCAAAATTTAGCTTGGAAGCCGTCGATACTTCAACAGCACCACTTGGGATTTAGATTATTAACTTTGCACAACATGATGCACACAACTGTCCTCATCTGCACTAAATGTATCTGTGATCCCAACATCGTAATATCAGACAGTGAAGTACAAAGGCATTAATAGAGGCTGAGAACACCAATAGCCACAAGAAATAAGCAAGAATACTTTTCTTATCAAGAGGCCCCCCCAGACAATTTTGAATATTATAGAAAATGTTTTTGTGTTCAAGTCTATCGTAAGTTTCCAATTAGCTTCAACATGATTACATTTATGGATTCTGTATAAATAGTATATTAGTGCCACACTAGGTGTACATACTTCAACGTAAGACTTTGATTTATACATCAGCTTTAATTAAAGTAATTATTATAATGATTATAAGTCAAGCCTTTTATCAATAAATAAAATGATATGGGGGCAGGGGTCACATATTCTGGGAGGGGGGCAATTTATGGGGATCACACATATTTTGTGAGTGATGGTTGTATAATTTAATATTTTTTTTAAAACATTAACAACTGTTGAATTCCCCAGGAGTGACTCCCGTGCGCCTCTTTGTGTAACTGAGCACTTCTGGGCAGAACACTGACCACAGCCAAATACAAGTGAAGCAGGCTTGGCAAGATTTTAAACATTAATCTGTTCTTCTAATCTTGGTTTTGAACTCTGACCTGGTTTACATTAATGTTGAACTTGAAATAATACAATTTTATTCTAGTGCCCATGTAATTTATTCTTATATTTTTTTTAATCTGACCCTTATGCTCTGTTGTATGTGAAAAATCCATTCATTTTAATCTTTAGTCCTATGCCCTGCACATAGACCATATACAGTCTATAGCCCTACGAGGTCAAATGAGAATAAAATGCAGAAACCTGTCAGGCCGGTACGCTCTTCCTGAACACACCTATTACCAAGTCTAAATTCAGTTTCACTTTTAAAAGCCAGTCTGTCCACTTTGAGGACAAATAAATATATTGTAATTGTTACATCATAAAAAAGAAATGAAAGTGTCAATTGTATTTTACAGTTAACAACATATTATTTCTCCATAATCCACTAAAAATAAATTATATTAATTGACAGTACCTTCAGCAGATAACAAAAAGAAAAATACTATGGAGATATTAGATTTTGCAAATGAACTCTTCAAATATGCCAACTCACTGTCTCTTCTGTCTCTTGTCATGAATCTTATATTAACCTCTTTACCACGCCATAAATCTACTTCTAAATATAACTTCTTACTACAGATGTTTTGCCAGTTAAACTAGTACAGAGTAGAGTCTCACAGAAAACAAGTGTAAGCTGCCAGTCTTATCTCATGTTTTATTCCCACACCTACTTTTGCCATGTTAATATTATGACAAGGAAGATATGAAACTTACCCAAAGTTAGCTTCAGGATGAACCACAAACAGAAATACACCGTAGCCATGGCACACGGTCTGGAGAGGAGACGCACCAGACATTTGATCTAACTTCAGCTTTCACTCATTTCTGATAAGGACGATGACAAATTATGATTTGATCCAGCCAGCCAAAACTGTACACCCGCAGCACACATATTTCAGGAGGTGTGTCTTAACAGCAGACAAACAGGATTTTTTAATTAAAGGAAATTCAATTACAATAAAATAGTGATGCAATGAAAAAGATTCAGATTCATTTTCCAATGGTTGAATATTTGGTTATAATTAGACATTCGTCAAAAATGCAATTATTTTAAATGGATGAATGGAATTAGATACAATAGACTATAACAATGTTTTTTTTTTTTTTTTATTTTGATCTTACCACAAAGGTTTTGTTTAAAATGTTCACAAATAGTGCAAAAAAAGCAATAAAAGTATAAAAGTGTAAAAGAGAATACAAGAGATTTGCATTGTCTACTTACATACACACACACATGCACACACACATTCATCATACTACACTACAATACTAAACGTTCACCATGAGTCCGCCATGTTTCGCTGTGATTATAGTATGATTTTTATATTTAAGCTCAAAAGAAATGGGAGGAAGAAATACATTTAAAACTCCCACCTCTTGTACATCAACATAATAAACAATACTAATAACAACCGCAACACTTGATACCAAATCATAGATTTTATAAACATGTTTTCAATACTTTCTTCAGCCGTTTCTTGGGTTTGGTGTAGAATAATGGGCCAGCACAATATATAATCACTTTTACTTGTCATGAAAAGTCACCTGTGTGATTCTGAGAGGTGCTCATCCTGGGATATCCTTTACTCCATTGCTCTGCTCTGATCCAGATGAACCAGATTCTTTGTCGGGTTCATCTTTCTTCTCCTTTTTGTCATCCTCTACATCCTCACCAGTGTTCTTGTTTTCTTTGTCATTATCGGTGGTTTGACTCGGAGGTGAGGCTGGTGTGTTTGGGGACTTGTTCACCTGCTCATTTGACCCTGATAACAATAGAGGAATCAAACATTTTGGGTATCTACAAAACTAGTGAAACTTGATCAAATAATCAACATCTCCAATAAAACTGAATGACATATTAATATGAAGTGTGTCAGGAAATGCTTTTTAAATGGCTTATTGCAGTCAAAAGGTTACAGGTTTCATAAGGTTGTTGCTTAGTTTAATTGTTCATCCAGGATTTACACTAACCACCACAAGTTTATAACAGCTATACTTAATAACCGTCTCCATTATGGACAGCGCAATCATTACATGTTTACTTTGACAGTGCATTAGGGTTTTGCTTTAACCCTCCCGCTCTCCTGGTGGGTCAAACAGACCCAAAATTGTTTTTTTTTTATTTATTTAATCACTCCTTGGGCCTGTGTACAACAGCTGTGTCTCATTTTCGTGCATGCACTACTGACTGCATACAGCAGGGGGCAATATTTTTTATTTTAATAAAGTGTCGATTAAATGAAGGGAAAAAAACTATTTCGGGTTTGTTTGACCCAACAGCAGAGCGGGAGGGTTAAATGATGGAAAAAACACAATTTGGGGTCTGTTTGACCCACCAGGAGAGCGTCAGGGTTAATACCTGCTTTTTCAAACTCAGCGGTGACTATTTTTTGTTCGTCTTCAGATGGGTTGTGCTATACAAATAAACTTGCCTTGCCTATTGCATGTTTTTTTTGCTTAAATACCTGTATTTTCAGACTCAGCAGTGACCATTTCTTGTTCGTCTTCAGATGAGTTGCAGGCTGAGTCTTGGTTCAACAGAAGATTCACTGTTCTGACAAGGGGGCTCAGGAAACTCTGCAACAAGAATGATGAGTAATAAACATTTTTATTAATTTAAATTATTTCTTTTAAATGTCTTTGAAAAGTAAACAAACCATGTATTAGCTTTTTAAAAGTCTAAAAATGAATTGACTTACATAACATCATTTGTAGCTCAGTAACAGGCAATGAAAAAATAGCTCATACTGAAACTTTAATGATCAGGAGATGTGTTTTTTGGGTTTAAAACAAGCTCATCTATGAGGTCTTTCAGTGGTTCGTTGTTCACTGTACGGTCCAGGTTTGTTACTTCATTTAATCCAGTTTGGAATCAATAATACAATAAAAAGTCAATTCAGTTCAAGCATACTACAGAAAATAATGTAGAAGAACACAATTTTAAAAACAACATGACTATTCATTCATTCCGCACTCTTCTCTCCAATTTATGTCTCTCTTTTTTAATTTTAATCTTCATGATTATTTATGTTTTGATTTGTTTTTATTATGATTTTAATGTATTTCTTATTCTGTAAAGCACTTTGAATTACTTTGTGCTATACAAATAAACTTGCCTTGCCTATTGCATGTTTTTTTTGCTTAAATACCTATTTTTTCAGACTCAGCAGTGACCATTTCTTGTTCGTCTTCAGATGGGTTGCAGGCTGAGTCTTGTTTCTGTGTCTCTGTGTTGGATTTGTCATGATCTTTGCTCTCTACACCACTGGACTCTGGAGTTTGGTCCTTGCCTGGCTTTGGAGCTGCACTGGTTTCTGCTAATAAAATAAACAAAACACCTTCATTAGCAACAGACACAGCAAAAATAATGTCATTTTAATCAGTAGTAGAGGTCAAAAACGATCAGAGTTAGCTTTGTGTGAAACTGTTTTTAAAATACAATGATTATATAAAGAATGACGACACACACCTGATGGTTCGTTTTGAGCTTGTGATGTTTCTTCTGTTCCTTTATCATCTGAGGTCCCACTATCTTGTTCTGGGTCTCCCTGTGCTTTCTTTTCCAGACCGGCTTGTGTTTGATTCTTCATCGCTTTTCTTTTTGTCCTCAGATTCAGGTGACTCAGGCTGTGATGACTGTGGCTGTGATGCTGAAAGTGAACACAGATATTTGACATTATGATAAATTCAAGAATAGTGACATACATGACATGGGCACTACATAAAAGTAATAAATATGTCAAAATATCATTAAGTATAATCTAGAGTGATTTTACAACCATTAAACACAGAAACATCACAGCAGATGCGTGTTTAGCCTGTTGTAAAAAGTTATTACAGTGGTTTGCATGACATGTGTTCAGTGGGAATACTATAGGTCAGTCATACGTTCTTTGTTGGAGAGGTCGTTCTGTGGGTCATTGTTCTCGGTGTCTGTGTTTGAGTCTGCATCAGGACTGGGCTCCTCTGTGCTCCCAACTCCAACTGGTTCAACAGAAGATTCACTGTTCTCACTGTTTAAATTATTTGTTTTAAATGTCTTTTAAAAAGCTAATATATAGTTTGTTTACTTTTGAAAGTCTAAAAATTAATTGACTTACATAACATCATTTGTAGCTCAGTAACAGGCAATGAAAAAATAGCTCATACTGAAACTTTAATGATCAGGAGATGTGTTTTTTGGGTTTAAAACAAGCTCATCTATGAGGTCTTTCAGTGGTTCGTTGTTCACTGTACAGTCTAGGTTTGTTACTTCATTTAATCCAGTTTGAAATCAATAATACAATAAAAGTCAATTCAGTTCAAGCATACTACAAAAAAGAATATAGCAGAACACAATTTTAAAAATAACATGACTATTGCATGTTTATTTTTGCTTAAATACCTGTTTTTTCAGACTCAGCTGTCTCCGTTTTCTCTGCAACGTTTTCAGATGAATTTCTAGGTGAGTCTTCTACACCACTGGACTCAGACAGGAGAGTTTGGTCCATGTCTTGTTCTTGGAGGGCACTGGTTTCAGAACTCTGGGTGTCTGCTAACAGAACAACAACTTCATCATTAGCAACATACAGCAAGAATGTGATTTTAAACAGTTATAGAGGTAAAAAACTGTCAGAATTAGCAATTTGGGAAACTACCTGGTGGTTCATTTTGAGGTTGTGTTTCTTCTGTTCCTTTATCATCTGAGGTCTCACTATCTTGGTCTGGCTCTCTCTGTACATTAGTTTCCTGACCATCGGTTTTCGATTCTTCATCGCTCTTCTTGTCCTCGGATTGTGCAGACTGTGGCTGCGACACTGAAACTGAACACAGATATTTGATATTATGATCTCAAGAGTAGTGACATACATGTCATGGACACTACAGAAAAGTAATAAATATGTCATAATGTTATATGTTTTATTATTAAGTATACTCTAGAGTGATTTTACAACCATCAAACAAATAAACATCATAACAGATGCATACTTAGCCTGTTGTAAAATGTAAAAAAGGTTTGCATGACGTGTGTTGTGACAGTAGAAATACTAGAGATCATTCATACTCTCTTTATTGGAGAGGTCGTTCTGTGGATCCTTGTTTTCAGTTTCTGTGTTTGAGTCTGCGTCAGGATTGGTCTGCTCTGTGCTCCCAGATCCAGCTGACAACTCTGCAAGAATTTTCAGAAATTATAACTGTATGTAGTACTTCCTTTAAATTTTCTAAATATTGTTTACTTTTGACACTTTAAAGCTCTGGCATGCTTAACGCAAAACAACTCTACAGCACACATCATAGTGACAAAAACCTAAAGTAAATAATCAAACCTGGCTGTACAGAAGCTGTAGCTGTTGTGGTTAAAATATCTGTAAGGTCTGGTTTTGCCTCTTTGATTAATTCAGCTTCAATTTTATTGTTTTTATGCATGGGCCATTTATATAATTTAACTGGATTAGACAAACATGAGCTCAAATACATAAAAAAAAAGTTGTGTTAGCAGGTGCGATTAGTGTTTGTATTTAGAGGGGAGAGATACAGAAAAAACAACAACTAAAAATAATAGAATATTGAAACATTTATAACATCACAGTTGTTCAATAATCAAAACTATTAAAACTTACTTAAAAACAGACAGAAACATCTAGTGTCAAACCTAAAGATGCTTGTGACATCTGTGAAGAACTGAATCATCCTTAGAAAATGATCAGGTTCTATATTTGGGAATTTACCTTTCTGATATTTCATGGCAAAGTGCAACATACGGAAAAACTGAACCTTAACCCAGATCTGGCATTAGGACATCATCGCATTCTAAAATCTGAAAACCACCAATAACACACATCACCTCACAAAAAATAAGCTAATGCTCAAACTTGGATGATCAGCAGCTGTGGTTGTTTGGTTTGCAACAGGTGCATGTATGGGGTCTTTCACTGGGTTCATTATTTTCTGTACAATCTGGGTTTGTCACTTCATTTAATTCAGTTTGCTCTTCATTTGTAGGTGGCACATCTTTTGGAGAAGTCACATGCGTGTTGCAGTTATGACGGGAATAAAACTGGATTAAAAAGCTTCAAGACACTAACCTTTTTCTTCTAGGGCCTTGGTGGACTCATCTGAATCTGTCTCAATAGAGTTTGAAGAACGAGCCGCTTTCATTTTCTGCTCATCATCATTGTCTTTGTGATTCTCGTCTGGCTGTTTCTCTGGATCCGTCTGCACACTGCTTTCCTGTTCCAATGGCGTAGACTTTATATCCTGGTTAACTTGAGGCTCACTGCTTGGAGGTGCTGTTGACAAATATACAAACACTTTTACTTCTTCATTAGTAAAACTGTATGTGTTATGCATGTCCTTATTTTTTCTTTTGTTATCATATTTCATAAGTTACGTGGATATAAAAAGAATTTTGGACACCAACCTGTTTGTTCTAGAGCCTTGGTGAACTCATTTTCATCAATTTTCGGCTCATCCTCATGGTCTTTGTGATGTTGCTCTGGCTCTTTCTCTGATTCTGTCTGAACACTGCTCCCCTGCTCTGATGACGTAGACTCTATATCCTGGTTAGCTTGAGGTTCACTGCTTGTAGATTGTGGCTCTGTTGACAAATTCACAAAACAATGCATTTTACTTCTACTTTAGTAAAACTGTATGCATTGTGTATGTCCTTAATTCTCAAACCTGGTGCAGCATTTTCATTTTCATCAGAAAGTTTAGAGTCTGTATCTTCATTTTCCATTGTTATAGGAACATTATTAAGCTCCTTGTGTTGTAAGTCCCTCTCTCCTCCTGTATCCATCTGCCCCGGGCCTGGTGCTGTGTTTGGGAAAGATGTAGCTCCAATGGCATAATTTCCTTTACCTATTAACAGGATTATCTATTGATACTTCAGCAAATGTTTTTACAGTATTCTGCATTGGTAGTTGGTAGTGAAAAAATTACTGACCTGAGAGTGTCTCTGCATTTTCATGATTTTCAAATATTTCACGTATATTCTTGCTCCTTCCTAGGGACAGAGTATAAAAAAACATGTGCATGCATTGAGTCTTCTCAGGATATCTTTCATATTCATGTATCACATGCAGTCATGTAACAATTTTCCCTCTTTACCTTGAGTCTCCTCTGTCACATATTCTTGCTGAGGAAGTCTTTGCGATGATAACATAGTTTCCTGCCGGTGGATATTACTTGCTAATAATGGATCATGTTCATCTTTAATCTTGACAGATTCATCTTGATTTTGCACAAGAGAAGAATTTGAAAAATACAATTATGTATAATGAAATGTTTGGTAAATCAGAACATTTTAGGTCATCAGAGCAAACCTGCTGCTTTCAGCTGTTTTTCACAGTCGTCATTCTTCCTCATGTCTAAACATACTAAACAAAAACAAGGAAGAACAATAATGATAGTGATAATAGTGACTCTGACTTGTTGATTAAAAATCATTTGGCCATTGGTTAAGAAAAGTACCTCTCTTTATTTGATGCCGAAATATGATGGGAAAAATGCAAAAGGCCAACAGAATTAGGGAAGCAATGATAATGGGTACAAGTATATTCAGGGGCTCAGAAGTTCTTTCTGCAAAATAAAGTAAAATAACACATGTCAAAATTCCTTTTGCTAAACAGGGTGAGTTTGTAATCTAGATCCATCATTGTAACCTTGTAACCCGATCCTCATCCCGGTTGCAAATTTAGAAATCCTACTGTGGCCACGCCAAAGTTCACTGAACTCTGCTTTTGATTGGTTGAACTTCAAGGCTGGACTGAAACATGTGAACTGCATCGACAGAAGATGGAGAAGGTGAGAAGGTAAAAAGATTGTTTTGTTTCACTGCTGGAACTAAAGAGTAATATACTAATGTCTTTAGCTGCGTAGTTACACTGTTCATCAGTTACAACATGAACCATCATATTCATTTTCACTCATCTTTCATGTGTTGAAGAAACAAGGTTATGTGATGAGTAATCAGATGACACATTGAAGCGTGTATTAGGTAGGCTAAACATAACCTACTTTAGGAAGCCAATTAGTGGACAAAAAATTGTTTTTTTAGGTATGAAAATAAATAATGTGTGTAATAAATTTCAAACACTGAAATTTTAATGAGCAACAGATTGCAATGATGTTGTCAAATGTCAATAATGGAAGTCTATTAGCAATGAAGAAAAATAATATAGCCTACAATATAATAAATAATAATATAAATATGCCTTTACTAGGTGTTTCATAAATAATAACAGATAAAGTTGGCTGGTAAGAACAAAACTGGCAACAGATGGATAGGCCCACTCTATAGGATAACATACCTTAAGTCTACATTAGCCCTTATTCTCTCCATATCCTCATTACAAATGCAACTGCAGCAGCCCAGTATCATGTATATGTTCAGCAGTAGGCCTATATTGGTTCAGATTTGGTAAGATTTTTCTGTTTAGTTATATACAGTTGCCCACATTACATTATTTTCATACCTAAAAAACTAGTTGCTACTTCCTAACATAGGTTATGTCTAGCCTACCTAATACACGCTTCAGTGTGTCATCTGATTACCCATCACGTAACCTTGTATCTTCAACACATGGAAGATGAGCAAAATGTTAATATGATTGTTCACACTGTAACAGATGAATTAGCCTATTACTCTTTAGTTCCAGCGGAGAAACAAAACAATCTTCTTACCTCCTCATCTTCTCTATTTTCCGCTGATGCAGATCACGTGTTTCAGTCTAACCTTGAAGCTCAACCAACCAGAAGCAGAGTTTGGAGAACTTTGGCGTAGCATAGTAGGATTCGTAAATTCGCCGGGTGAGAATTCTATATATATCCATAGTATACCAGACAATATTATATTTCTACTATTAGAGAACCAACCTGTGTAACAGTCTTTGGCTATGAAGGTGCTGGTCTCTTCCTGCAGGGGGTTATTTGCGGTGCAGCTGTACGTGATGTCATCGTGCCCGTCACCCAGGGTGATGGGTAAAGTTTGGCCCAGCTCACTTTGACCTTCCAGTCTCCAGATAAACGTCAGAGCTTCTGGAGTGTTGGACGGTGAAGAGCAGAACAGTGTTGCAGAAGTAATAGTACTGTTCTCATCGTTCATCTCACATCTGATCACGGGCTTGGAAACTTCGTCTGTGCACAATAATATCAGTAAATTAGCAATAATCATAAAATGTGAGTTTTTACCGTTTCACAAAAGCTTGCAGAGTTGGTGACAAATCATATAACTTTTCAACATTTTTTGGACATTTATTTTGAATAAAACAGATGGTCTCTTTATGCAATAAGAACTACTATTAAAAGTTAATATTATTATATTATTTATTTATTAATCAAATCATAAAGCAAATCTAGGCTTGTCACAACATAAGGATTTGCTGAATAAAAGTCAACCTAGAATAATGAGTTATATTGCCCTTTCAATGTTTTTATAGCTCTGTGTTTTTCCCATTGCCTTTTACTCACCTAGGACCTTGAGCATATATTGTGAGCGGTACAATTTCTGACCGCTGAAGATGTCCAGCTCATACTCTCCACTGTCTTCATATCTGACATCTGAGATGGTCAGTTTGGCTGTGCTCCAGGCCAGAGTTATTCTGCCGTGATATGGCTCGAACAAGGTCTCCTCTGCACCATCAAACTGGATCACTTTGTCCCCATTGTGCTTCCACAGAATGTCATCAGGGAATTTGTTTATGGCCGGAGTCAAGACGGCCTCTCTGCCCTTAAGGACGTAATTTGCAGACTGACCTGTAACTGCTAAACAAAATTATTACATTATTATGATATAATCATTAAGTTCTACTTCTGTATTGGGATAGGGATTTTTTTCATGAATATGCAAAGATTAAAAGCTGCCTCAATGAATATCTTGTAAGCCTAATTGCTACATCACAAAAAAGAAATATGGGTTTGTTTGCCAAAAACGGGTAAGTGCCATTTTTTTTTTTTTTTTTTTTTAAATCAGTGGAGGCTTGCAGTTATTTGTAGAATTTTACTGCTATAAAAATATTATTTCATCCCTCATCTAAGTCCACTTGACATTATATTTATTGATAATAGCTATACTTACAGAAGAGGATTTAACAAATAATAACTTTATATAAAAACACAGAAATTGTAATTGTGCATAATAAACCATAAATGTACCATTAAAGAGCCAGCGTATCAGGTTCTATTACTTCTTCCGAGTACGAGTCTCCCAGAAAACAAGTGAAGTAAGTTTGCCCACAGCGTTATCTCATGGGAGTGTTATTCTCACGCCTACTTCTGCCATGTTTATTTTACAAGGACAGATCCGACACTCACCCAAAGTTAGCTTCAGGATGAACCACAGGTAGAAATAGAGGGTCGTCATGGCGCACGGTCTGGAGAGACGACGCACGAAACTTTCTCCCACATTTAATTCATCTTTGATGACATCGGTGACAAAATCGCCAGCCCTGATCGATCCGATATAAAAATATACAAGTATTCCAAAATAAAGTTCGCATAGACATGAAAGAAAAGTAAAATTAAAGATGTTTCCAGTTCCAAATGCTACGGATTCGTGCTTAACTTTCGAGGAAGAAGAGAGTGGACTCTGGACACCTGCAGCCGCTGGAGCACCTGTGGCTATTTCCGGTGTGCGCCTGTCTGTGAACTTTGGAACAGCAGGCAACACAGGGCGGGATTTATTTAGTAATAATATAGCAAGAAAAAAAAAAAAAAGAAAATTGAGTCTCTGATGACAGTGATTTTTAATATTCGTGTAAAATTCAATTAGGCTTATTGTAGCTGGATCGCATAATACACTGACTGACTGTTTGACAAAGTTCAGGGTTTACACCTGTTGTTTACGATCTTCTTAAAGAGTGCAACAAAAAGGAACACAAGTATATCTTATTTACATCTACATTTTAAAAGTGAACACAAAAGATTTAGTCAGTTTACTACACACCTGCACACAGACAAACATGCACACACGCACACACAGCCAGCACAATAATGATGGAGCAGCACAATAAATAATCAACTTTACCAGTCATGAAAAGTCACCTGTGTGATTCTGAGGTGTTCTTGTGCTGCATTGCTTCACACTGATCTGGATGAGTCATATTCTTTAGTCTTGTCTTTCGTCTCCTTTATATCATCCTATTCCTATCAAATACATGACTCACTCTGGTTTTCTTTTTATAACATTTCATAAGTCACCTGAATGTTGCAGGTGCTTGTATTTACATACACTAACTTTTATTCTTACTTCATGAGTAAGTCTGTGTTTTGTGCATGTCCTAGTTTTGAGGCATCTTTATGTTCCTCTGGATTAGGGTGTGTATCTCCATCTTCTTCTGTTGCAGGAACATTATTAAGCTCTTCGTGTTGTAACTTATGTCGCTTGTTTGTTTCTATGGCTGTCATTGCTCTGCCTGGAATGTTCCACAGTATGACATTAAACATTCATTCAATTTCAGGTGGTTTTATAGCTCAAAAATACCTAGAAAAACAGGTATTCGGACTGTGAGCGGGGTTGCCTCTCCGCAGATCTGACCTGAAACTTGGTCTGGTTTGGTCTCCATGAAAATAAAAATATTTAATACCATACTCGATAACATCTCCAAGGAAAAGAAGATTTGATGGACCCTTCACCAGAAAAGTTACACAATGCACCTTTAACATAACACTTGACAACAACAGACATAGATTTTCCAAACATTTTTTCAAACTTTATTGACCTGTATGTTGTAGGATAATGAGCCAGCACAATGAAAAATCCTTTTTTACCAGTTATATAAAGTCAAGTATGTGGTTCTGATTAGTGTTCATGTCTGGTTCCCTGCAGGAGGCTGGGATATCTTGTGTATATGAGTGTAGGACTTCATTAGGGTGACGCTGCCGTGATGAGACACTCCCATGGGTAAGACGCATTCCTCCGTGAGCTGTCCTTTGCCCACGTCCCAGCACATCACCGCGGAGATGACTTGGTTCTTGTTATCCCTCCCCCCGGTGATGAAGATCTTGTTGTTGCAGGCGGCGATGGCACAGCTCGCCCGCTCCCCCAGACGAGTGACCAGGGACCAGGAGTCTGACCTGGGGGAGTAGCAGTACATCGCATGCATTGCTCCTCCTGGGGATAGAAAAAGAGGTTAAAGTGTTTATATTACACTGTTTTCTGAGCTATGATATAATGTTGTTTCCTCATCAAAAACATACCCGGAGACAAGCATTTACTTGTTTAACACATAAACTCTTAAAACTATTTAAGACTAACTATTAACTATTATTTAACTATTAATGATATTAACTTTTATTTAACTATTAATGATTAACTATTATTAGGATAATTTCTCCCCTGAAATCTCTTGAAAGCTACCGTTTCATGAGCTGAGCATTTTGAGCTGTAGTTCAGATGTAGACAGACTAATATTAAATGATTACTCGAACATGTGTGAATAAAACAAAAACACAGCTCCAGGTATGTTTTTGAGGAGGTAACAACATTATAAAACAGCTTAAAGCACACAAAAGTAAATCTTGTTTAATATAGGTCCTTTAAATACAGTCTGGTTTGAGTGGTTGCTGGATTTGTGTGTTTAACATGTGTGAATGAAACTAAACAAAACTCCAGGTATGTTTGTGATGACGATACAACATTATAACAGAGAAAATAGCATAATATGGGCCCTGGGATGTTTTGTTCTTACCCACTACATAGATGCAGTCCTTGAATGTGACAGCGTTAGTGCACTTAGTTTCCACTGGTATGGGAGCCCGTGTCTCCCAGGTGTCCGTCCCAGGTTCCCAGCACTGGACCTTATCTGTAGCCAGTTTTCCATTGGGACCTCCTCCGATTACATAAATCCAGTGATCAAAACTGGCAGCAGCAAAAGAGCTCACCCCTTCAGCAAGAGGTGTCACCTGTTGGATACCATGAGCATTAAATTATGTTCTAACACAAATATGCACTGGCCACTTTATTAGGTACTTCTACAGTAAAAGTAAATAAATCTTTGAGAGGGAGCGCATGGGGCTATATATTCACCATTGTTAGAAGAAATAACCAAACTTATCATGATCCACAAATATTGAATCATTATTTGTTGATTGGGTCCTCAAACTTTAATCTTATGAATCATAAAGGTGCACTGCATAACATTTTTAGTGGAGGGTCCGCCACCTGCTTGTCTCCATGGAAAAGTTATTGCTTCGTCTAGAATGTTCCACTGTATCAATTAATAATCTATCAAGAGGTTACAGTATTAGACTACATTACAGTTCAGGTCTGTGGAGAATTGCCCCTATTCACAGAAGGAATTATTCTATTTTTGTGCAATAGAAACATCTGTAATGAATAAATGCTAGAGGGATATGTTTAATCAATCATACCATGGAACATTCCAGGCAAAGCAATAATATCTCCATGGAGACAAGCATGTAGCAGGATGTCCACCAGTAAAGTTGCACCTTAAAGATTTAAAGCCTTCATGTCTATGGAGTTGAATAATTCAATTCAATTCAAATTCAGTTCAAAACGTTTATTGTCAGTTTTCATATGAAACATATGAAGAATTGAAATTGTGTTCCTCCCTCCCAATCTTCTAAATAAATAATAATAATAAATGGAAAAGTCCAAGTGTGTGTGTGGGTGGGGGGGGCATGCAGATTCCTAGCTTCCTGGTCGCCTGGTGGTTAGAGAGGGGAGAGAGTTCAGCGTGATCGGAGGTGAGGCAGCATCCTGTCTTCTGAGCTGAACAGACTGTGTGCGCAGTGACTTGCATCACTCACAAGGAAAGTTTTTTTCAAATGACAGAGAAGACACTGACTTTTCTGTTTTTCTTTGTGAATATGACCAGTAATCGCAGAGATACTGTATTAACCAGAAACCAGAAATGCTTTTTAGGCAGTTAAGATTTCTGACCTATCCTCTAGATCAAGGAATGTCAGGAATCTTGTGGTGTAATGTCATATGAACTATTTTTATCTACTGATCTGAAATATCTTTCATGCCTGTGCTTTTGTGTGCTCTTTGTTATTAGACAGGTTTAAAAGTGATCGTGTTAGAAGTACCTAATTATGTGGCCAGTCTAGGTTTTGTTTACTATCTATATTATATGTACCGGTGTCCAGCGATTATGAAAGGGGTCATAGGCTTCGACACTAGAAAGTCTTTGGTTTCCATCAAAGCCCCCGATCACATAGACTTTGCCCTGGTGGACGGCCATCTTGTGCCTCCAGCGAGCTATTGACAGTGACTCAATCTGTATCCACTTGTCCAGGGCTCCGTTGTATTTCCAAACGTCATTCTGTGTCTCCTTGCCCCCTAAAGAAAAAAAAAAGAATTGAAAACCACTATTTCCTCCGAAACAATGATGTGATGATAGCTCACAAGGCAGACAAATTTAAAAAAGCCCTTGGTGAACTTTCTGTGCACATGTGTATGAGTAAACAGAAACTTAGGTGTCAGTTCCTCTGAAGGGAAACACGTTAAACCACACATCTACAAGACTGAGCATGCTCCTGATGTTTTGATAGGGCCAATACTGTACTGGTCTGGCAAAGCAACATAACAAATAACTGTTTGGACAAGACAATACATGTCTAAACTTTTTTTCATTGTAGAGATTTTGGGCGTGTCTCGCGTGAGCTTATAATTGTCACTGTAATAATAATAATAATTCTTCATCCGTGTTTTTGACAGTAACTCAAAGACCCTTCACAGTAAAGTAACACAGATAAAAGGACAGGACAAACAAAACGAGTAGTAAGGAAGCTTTCATGTGTGGGGGTTATAGGTCTTGAGGAGTTTTGAGCTGTTTTTCGTGGGTATTTAGTGAGTCTGAGTTTCTGATGTGGAGGGGGAGAGATTTGATATTGAGACTGATATTATTTTAAATTCAAAACGATGCATCTTCCTAACAAAGAGCTCTCCTGGCTTTGTTTATTATACAAATACTCTGAAGTTTTGGACAGGTAGCTAGAGTCAAATGTTGTTTTTATGTTATTTTTTCTCACCTGAAATGTAAACTTCATTGCGAAACGTGGCGCAGGCAAACTCCACCCATTTCTTGTTATGGGTCTCGTCCTCCAGCTCAGTGAAGGGGAGCCGTGCCACCTCGAGCCGACTGCGCCTCAGCGGGTCCAGGCAGGTTACCGTGGAGATGAAGCGCTCATCTTTAGTGCAGCCCCCGATGATCAGGAAGACCTCGGACAAGAAGTGAGAGACACGCGGTTTGGTCCTCTCACACACCACCTGTGAACAAGACGGATTAAGGTTTTCTTTTAACGCGTGATAAACTGTAACAATGGTGGGTGCATTTGCTGCATTGGTGTCGGCAACGAGAGAGAGAGAGACATTTTTGTTCTCAAAATGTGCTGGAAGATGAAATGGAGTGAGGTCAATATAGTATTATTATAAGTACTGTTATTAATATTATGCATGTAATATATGTCATATGAGCAATGTTTTTAGTGTTTTGCAAAAGTAAACGTTCCTAAAAATAATCTAAATACTACTCTGATTAGATTGTTTCCAAAGTAATTTGATCACTGATAAGTTACTCAGGAACCAGTAGCTCAGGAACAACCTTCTAAAAAGCATGAATTCTTCACACTAATGACACTTATAGAGCTTAATGTGAAGCAGAGATGATGCATAGTCCTCCATGACCAATATTTGTGTTATTTTGGTTCACATCCGATTGCCTCTGACACCAGAAGAGGACATCCTGTGCTGCTGTTTATCTTCTTAATGCCACTGTTACTAAACTAAAAACTAAAAATGACTAGACCAAGTGGCTGTAATCTAATTACTCAGTTTTCAATTGTAACTACATTAAATATATGAATGAGTTACTAAAAGTCATCTGATAACAGTAATCCCCTTCTTTGTAACTTGTTACACTGAATATGAAGACAAGGTTAAAGCATCATCTGCATTAACTGGTGCAATTTCATTCAGATTTTTTTTTTTTCAAAATCTTCTCACTCCTTTTTAAGCAAGTATCTGTTTTGTGTCGAGTCACACCCATAAAGGGAGTGTGTGTGTGTAAAGATACATCCGTTTCCCTCTATAAGAACAGATTATTTCAGTCAGTGATGTATTGCATACGTTTTAATCATTTCTCACAGCTAGATTACCAGAGCAGAATTCACCTGATTAATTATCAATAAAAAGTGATCAAGGAAAGTAAAGGTTGAAACTGTGTCCCTCACATAACAAACAAAATGACAGTAACATGAGAGAGTGTGTTTGTTTTACTGACCTCTCTGCCTGACAGGTGGAAGTTGCGTGCTTCTTGCAGGAGTGGGAATGCATCCGTACACTGCCTTATGAGCTCATCGGACTCCACATTGTTCACAAAGTACGCCGGCTCCAACAGCGGCAGCCGCACTCGGGCCAGTAACCTCCCCAACAGAGGACTGCGCTCACTGGGCTCGGCTCTCACCCAGCGCATCACAGCTTCAAAAACTAGCTCCTCAAAGGTAACGCTCAGCTCGTCGCTTTGCAGGACAGTTTCTAAAGAGTCTGCAGGCAGCTCCAGGAAGTCTGTTAGAGCCACCACCTTAGTGAAGTTGGAGATGATGAAGTTCTGGGCTGTAGTTTTCAGGGAGGGGATGCCGTGACTCTCGGCCAGGTTCAGAATGCCAACGCAGCTCTCCAGATGTAAAGACTTGCTCAAAAAAACAGAACACGCCTCAACCACACGCAGGAACTAGAATGAAGAGAAAAAACAAAATTACACACTGAAAAATTATGTTATAATACCTTCAAATTGTACAGTAATGCCTTCTAGACCTGTCACAATAACAAATTTTGAAATATGATACATGATAGATAAAAAATAATACTGAACACCACTGACGCCATAACAAGAAAGCAGGATTATCATTAGAAAACACTTAATAACAAAATGAACCAATAATTATCCTTAGATATAACTAAAATCTTACATTATTATTACATAAAAATAGCATAAACTTCCTGACTATTGCAAAGAAAATGTATAAACGATAAATACTGATGCCCAAAATATATCGTTCCAGCTTTTATATATCGAAAAATAAGTCAAGTAAGAGTAATTATCATGAATGCCTGCTTTTATAAGTATTTTTGAGCTATAAAAACACCTGTAATTGAATAAATGTAAGGTCGAACTGTTTAATGTCATACAGTGGAACATTTCAGGCAGAGCAATGACATTTCTATGGAAACAAGCAGGTGATGGACCCCCGAATCAAAAGGTTACACACAGTTAAATAAATAAAATGTATATGCATGTATTTTTGTTAGTTTTCTAAATCTTTGCTGTTTAAAAATGGTTTTCTTTTCTTAACACCCTCTGCATAAACACGAGTATCAACGTGTCAGTTTTATTTTCGTTTTAGCTGATTGTATTATCATTTCTTCTTTTTTTTATTTCAACTGTTTACAAGAATAGATTATTATGAAGAGAATTATTCTGGTGTGACAGCTTGAGCGCTCCTGTAGATGTCATTACAGCACAAACACCTGCTCGCTGGGTTGTGCAGCTGTGAAGTTATTTCGGATGCATATGGAAAACTAACCCGGAGTGTAAACATGTTTGCACTTTCACTTCTCTTCATGAGGCGGTCATTTGTTTAAATCAGAAAATCTCAATTTCTAAGAATAAACCAGAAATGTACCCAGTGACTCATTTTTCCTATTAAGATTACTTTTGCCGATAAACTAAAAGCAGAATTTTGTCGGTCCTGGTACATCATATGACTGTGAATTTGTCTTTTTTTATTTGAACGTTTTTTTTTTACCAGTATAGTCTGCACAGGCATAGGGAAAATATGCAAACTCCACACAAAAACGCCCTGCACCGTCCAAGAATTGAACACAGGATGTTCTTGTTGTGAGCATTTTAACAGCTTTCCTATCCCCGCCAATCCACTTTTTTTTTTCTATAGCACATTTCATAAACATAAATAAAATAAAAGTTTCCTAGATGCTGCACATAGAGAAATAAAAAAATCTGCAATTTAATACAATAAAACAATATGAATAAATAAAATAAATAAAACAAAATAATAAAACATATTATAACAATAAAATAATGAAAGACAACACAGGACCTATTTTACAGTATTTTCTGATTTATGTTATGTTATAATGTTTCCTCATCTAAAATATACCTGGAGTTGTATTTTGTTTCATTCACACAAACCATGCATATTTAGGCCAAGTTCTCTCAAACAGCAAACACTCCACCTTGTGATGTCATGCGGTAATACAGGAAGTGCTTTTAAACTCCATACACCTTCACTCGAATCAATTAGATCAGTGTTTCCCAAACTTTTTTTTATGGCGACCCATATTTTAAAAGTCACAAACCTTCGAGACTGAAGTCAATAGACATTTTTTCAGTGCTAACAACACTCGTACCAGTTTAATTTCCTCGCTTTCCTGACGTGCAGTGACCTTTGCTGATTTATCACCCTTCTTTTTGGACAACCAAGCAAACATTTCTCACCTCGTTCAGGGTACACAGATAGGATTTGCTGACTTACTCGCTCTGTCATGTGTCAGAACTGTATATTGCAGACCTACATGCAGATCGTGACAAGGCAACCCAAAAAAAAATCTCTTGTGACCCACCTGAAGGTTGTGATCCAGTCTTTGGGAAACAATGATTTAGATCATGTCTGTCCTAGAAGTGCCAATCTCAGCTGAAGAAAAGATAAAACGTAGCTGTTAACTTGAAAACTACCACTACATGACATCATAAGGTGGAATAGAGCATTTAGAGATGTAGCAAAACTCAAACTCAAGAGCTGGAGGATGTGTCTGGGGTGAAGGAAGTGTGGGAGTCCCTGCTTAAACTGCTGCCCCCGCGACCTGGCCCCGGATAAGCGGAAGAAAATGGATGGATTGATGGAGATGTAGCATTACTCAAACACGTGTGAATGAAACAAAACACAGCTCCAGGTATTTTTTTGAGAGCGTAACAACATTACAACATGCCTTCAAGCTCACAAGAATCAATTTAGTGTAATATAGGACCATTCAAAGACAAAGAGTAAGAGCAGGTCTTGAGAAGAGACTTAAAACACTCCACCGTGGGGGCTGTTTGGTTACATAGAAGGCCCTGGCCCCCGGTGGTTTTAAGTCTCGTCTTGGGCCTTTAACACGATACATATTTCTGCATCTCTCACCTGAAACTGACTGGCTGCTTCTACAATCCTCTCCACATTCGATTCTGTGAGAAGAGCCCGGCCTGTGTAAGTGTAGTCCAGTAGAATCCTCATGGTGGCGCTGTCCAGTCCTTTCATTTCTACTCGCTCTTCATGACTCTCCCTCAGGCCACTGCAGAACATCGCCCTGTAAGAAAACACAACATTTACAACAGTTAATTAATGTATTAAAGGAATCTCGGCTTGTCACAACAAATACTAATACTACTAAAACACTATATCAACTTCAATATATGTTAGATGGAACCATACTTTTCGGGGGTCCGTATTCGTCATTGGGACTTTTTCTTTGTACTAATGGGGGAATTTTGGTTATTTTTTCTGTATTACAATGAGATTTAATTTGAGTCACTGAGTCAAAGTCATTATGGATACAAACTAACTGAAGCGTAGCATTCTGTTAACTACCGGTATTACGTCGCATATTTTTAAACAGTTTTGTTCGTTTCCAAAGCTGTTCTAGGGATAATTCTGCTTTACGGTTTAGTTTCAGTATTATTGTTTATCTATATTTCTTCAGCAATATATCACACTTCAAAATGTGTTACCGTGACAGGCCTAAAAGGATCACCGTGAAACGTTTCCCCATGAAGTACCAATGGGACAATTGACAATAATATAATTTATCATGATGAAAAGCGTTGGCAATAATCATTCGTGAGACATTTTATATAATCGTGACAATCGCCAACAAATAAATCGTCATTTTATCACCAGAAAGTAGCTGAAAAAAGCTGCTTATCCATGATGTTTTCTTCTAGATCATTGTTGTTTTCACTCATAACAAAGTCCAATTCAATAACCGTTGTTTAAATATGGAACTTATTTATAAAATTAAAAGTATAATTAATCACGTGCATAACACTGATTCATATTGACCATGATAATTGTGATATCAAATTTGAATATTGTACCAGACCTACAGTAAAAATGCTGCACTGTATGGCAAACTCTTCTATTTCCATGGAAACAAGTAGTATTTTTTCTTATTTTATTTATTTGTAAAGGAGCAGCACATATTAATGAATATTTAAAATGTAACTATGTAAAGATTATAGTTAAAGTGCAATTTCCATCTTCAGTCCCTCAGCAGGTTGATGTCAAATAATCTACAGGAATCTACAAAAGTACATAAGTAACACCAGCAGCACACTCACTATTCAGTCGCTACACATACAATTCATTTCAGACAGTTTGTTTGAAGTCCAAAGTTAAACCAAGTTTTCTGATGGAGGGTCCTTCACCTGCTCGTCCTCATGGAGATGTTACTTCTTTGTCTTGAATGTTTCATGGTAGATTAGACTATCTCAAGGAAAACAACTTTTGGCAACATTACAGGTCAGATCTGTGGAGATGCCACCCTATTCACATAGAGAATTATTGTGTTTTTGATCAATTGAAACACCCATAATGAATCAGTGCTAGATAGATGTGTTTAATGTCATCCCATGGAATAAGGCTGCTCGATTATGGAAAAAATCATTATCACGATTATTTTGGTCAATATTGAAATCACAATTATTCAAACTATTATTTTTTAATTACACAATGCATTTATTCTGCATTTCTCTCGAAAAAAAAACAACAAACAAAATAAAACAAAACACTTTGTTATTGATAATTTACGCAAAACTTTCAAATTGAAAATAAATATAGGCTACAAATCTGTACCTTAAAGCAGTTTTGAGATTTATAAAACATAAAATGAATAAAGTATAGTTTGAACAAGAAATAAGGCATAGAAAAACATAAATGTATCCAAAATAAACTATATCTCTACTGTTCTACAATCTCTACATAAAATAAATATACTTATCTTTGTTAAGCTTTAAATCGTTTCAATTCAATTAGATGAGTTTGGAGATCATTTGACACACAAATTGAAATTGCGATCAAAATTTGATTAATTTAATTGCACGGCCTTACCATGGAACATTCCAGGCAAAGCAATAACATCTCCATGGAGACAAGCAGGTGAAGTTCCACCAGAAAGGTTGACCTATTCATGTTTAAACATGGAGACGTATTTGATCATTGAACATCACTGTTTTAAAGCTTTAGAAAATGCTGCCAGTGTTGAGATCTGTCGTACATGAGCAGGCGCTGTGCTCCACATCTGACCTGCTCGATAAGAAAAAGAGAGCTGTCCAAAAGCACGTTTCCTAAACGGCACAGAGCAGTCACATCTAGAACCTATTCTTGTTGTCCGATATGAATTTCTTTTCACAGTCTCTGTTAGGAAATAGAGCGAGATTATTAAAAACTTTGTATACTAAAACTAAATCTGCATATTTAACTGTGTTGTCCCAATTAAGAAATGTGTTTGTTGTTTGATTATTTCTTCCGTCATATAAGAAATAAACTAACGATAAACTCTGCAATTATGTCGTATTATGTCGTATGTATAAATTACGGCATTACCAGTTGGATTCTGACAAGGAAAACTACTCTTATATTAGCTTTTTAACCAATAATATAAAAATAAAATACCTGTAATTGAACAAATGCAAAATAGATAGTTTAAAGTCATAGTGTGGAACATTCCGGGCAAAGCAAAAATATCCCGATGGAGACAAGCAGGTAATGGATCCCCTCAAATGTTTACAGTACTATGATATAATGATTGCACCTGAAAATTACATGATATGAATAGTATTTTAAAGGGCCCAGTTTTACACTATTTTCTGATCTGCGTTATAATGTTGTTTCCTCATCACAAACAAACCCAGAGTTGTGTTTTGTTTCATTTCATTCACACATGTTTAACACTCAAGCACTGCATATTTGTCATGTTTTCATACACCTTCAGTAGAATCATTTGGATAATTTCAGCCCTGGAATTGCAGATTTCTACTGAACTTAATTCTAACTTTACTCAAGCATGCGTGAATGAAACAAAAACACAACTCTGGGCATGTTTTTGAGGAGGTAATAGCATTATAACATGGCTTTTATCTCAAAGGAGTCAATTTTGTGTAATATAGGACCTTTAAATGTCTTACTGTACCTGAAATAGTGACTGGCAGCGGCGAGAATGGCTCTGTGACACGGGAAGTCCTCTCCCTGCACACTCAGTATCACATCGGTCAGCTCCCTGTTCACTCGTAGGTTTTCCATTCCTTTCTGTAGCTCCATGGGTAAACCAGCATCCTCCCAGCACAAGTCAGTGGTACCAGCAACTGTCTGTCCATCTCCTTTTGGACAGCTTTCACCTCCAGACTCGGCACATACGGCGGGGGTATCTGTGGTTGTCTCCAAAGTTTCACTCATCACTGTTACTGCTGCTGTAAAACTGTAAGAAATGGTAAGGGTTAGGCGTTACGCTGGGCTGAGCTGCAAATTCTAAATGTCAAAAAATAGCTCCGTGGTCGGCATCATGGCAGTGTGGTTTTTGATAATGTTGATTTGTTTTTTCCTGTTATCATCAGACTTCCTACTTTTGCTACAGGGGAACTTGAAGCAGCACAGCAAGTTGATACTTCCTCTTCTGGTGACTGCAACAATAAGTTCCGAAGGTTATAATTTAGTTTTGCTTGTTAAGTTGTTTTTATTTGTGGTTTATTTGAGCAATAAATTGTTTTTTTTTTATTGTGAAAAGTAAAATTTGAGTTTTGAAATAATTACACAGGACCAATTATGTAATAGCTTTTCATTTTATCTTTTTAAAATCCACTATTTTGTAAAATATGTTTACGTTATGTGGCTTCTTGCATATATTTCTGATCCAACACATTAATTCTTTACTATTGTATTTATTTGACACTTTTATTGTTATTTTTATTTGTGATCTATTCTAAAATGTAGCCAGATGAACTACTGAGGAGTGAGTAATTATTGTATCCACTAGGGGGCACTGTTGCCTAATTTGTTTCAGTCTAATTTCTACTTTGGCACCGGCTTAAGTGATTTTTCGCTTCATTGCTCAATATTTATGCAAAACAAACAATGTATTGCAGTTAACGAAGAATTGCTGTTTTTGAGAGAATTTCAATAAAGCCTCAATAAAGCGTCAATAAAGTTGTGCATGCGCCACTTCAAAAACTTCTAAACTTCTAAAAAGAGGAGGGAGTCATTTCAACCATGTTATTTTTAGACTTTTACCTGTCCGTGGCAAAGAACTCACATCCCAGAAGCTGCACATCGCGATTTTTACTCACGTAGTCAACCTGGATGGATTGCGCCAAAAGTGCAGCAGCGACGCGCGCATTAATATAAAGTTCAACGACTACAATCAAGTGCAAGTATGATATGGAGGAAATACACGGGGCTTCCTCTACCGTGCGCCGACAGGAAACTGGAGCGGTATATATGAAGTATCTGAAGCGTGATTTTCAGATGGAGGCTGCGTAACGAGCTCGTTGTGGTCGTAATTTTATGGCCCGTACAAAGCGTCCAGAATGAGGTGCTCTCCAAGGTCTCTGTGGGGCCAGACACTGCGTTGCCTCTGTCTGACTCTACTGTTTGACTGTGGTAAGTAGATTCAACACATTTGCATAGAAATATTATGTTACATTTATTTTTCTCTTAACTTTTGCATTATTACTTTGTCTTGAATGTTCCACAGTATGACATTAAACTGCTTTCCTTTAGATTTATTCGATTACAGGTTTTATAGTTCAAAAATACCTAGAAAAACTCTTACTCTGGCTGTTAGTGGGGTCGCCTCTCCACAGATCTGACCTGTAACTTGGTCTGGTTTGGTCTCCATGAAGGTAGAAAGGTTTAATGCCATACTGTGAAACATTCCAGACAAAGCAATAACATCTCCATGAAGAAAAGCATTTGACGGACCCTCCACCATAAGATTTAAACAATGCACCTTTAACTTTTGCACATAGAAAAAAGTCACAAGAAATGTAGAAATATACTTAAACATGCACTGCGTAACTTTTCTGGTTGACAGTACTGAAGTATACTTCTTCTTTTACTTTTGTACTTCATTACCTTCCATTACTGCGATACAGTAACCACATATGACAAATAAACTAACTGTAGCGTCTGTACTTGCAGTGCTCGGCTCAGGAGGGTACATAGTGGTCACAGAGGCTCAGGCCGGGCCCTTGTACCGTGTGGAGGGCTCCGAGCTCTCCATCTCCTGCAGTGTGACCGGTTTACCTCCACTCCCCGACGGCAGAAATGACTTTGAATTTCGAGTCAAGAAGCCTGCAAAACCAGATTTTGAATTGAATATCATAAGCACCAACGATGAATATTTCCCCTTTTCACTCTATGGAGATCGTGTGAGGTCTGGAGAGATCGCAGTGATACATAAGGACCCAAACTCAGTGGTTTTTAAAATTCTACATCTTCAGAAGGCAGATGAAGGGGAATATGACTGCTCTGTTGTCAACACCAGAAGCACGTACAATGGGATATACAGTGCACTGACTACAGTTAAAGGTAAGTTTTGTCATTTCCAGATGAGATGCAAAAGTTTAATTAAGGTTTGTACAGCTTCGCTCCAAAAGTGAAAGACACAGGACAACATTCATACCATTCTCCACTTACATAATAAATAACCCTGCGTCCTGTCAGTCATTATTTCTCCTTATGACCTCTTGTATATAGCTGAAATATATTTCTATTACTATATTCCTATTTATTTTTTACTTACGGGGTGTGCAGAAATATCGAAATATTGATATATCGTATCGTTTAATATGATGATACAGTATCGATATCATGGGATGCTGTATTGATATATCGAGTATTTTGTGATATATTTTACTAAATTATTTTGTTACAGCGCTACAGTTTTGTTGCTTGTTCAGAGGAAGAAAATGCAACACAACACATTGACCTTTTCACTGTTTTGATTATTAAAATGGGCGTGTTTCATATTCACTTTGCACAAGAAGTGGTTTAACAAAACTTTTAATAGTAACTTTTAGTATCACATTTAACCTTTTTTTTTTTTTATATTAAACCGTATTGGATCGATTTGAAACATATTGTATCGAACCGAAAGTGCACTGTATCGAGATATGTATTTTACTTCTTAATGATACCCAGCCCTAACATATATACATTTATATAATTATGCCTTATTTGACACCAGTCTCTTTCTATTTGTGCTATTTCATTATAGCCAATACAATAATGGTAAGATTATTGAGTTAAAAATGTATTATTTAGACTTACTTTGGGACATGTGATCATTCATTGCATTGGAAGTGGTACATTTTCTAGGTTTTTCTAGTTGTATTTTTAGTGACTACAAAAATGACAGCTACTCCTCCTCAGTACCATAAATAAATACACAAGTTTGCGTTCCTATTTATAATATCACCTTTTATTTTTTTCTTTCTGTAGTGATTGACAACTCTTTAAGCATCTCATCATCATCTCCTGCTTCCATGGCTCAAACAGAGGGAGACAGTTTGGAGCTGACCTGTGAAGCATCCACCAACACCATCCAGCACACACATTTGTCAGTGGGCTTTTTCCTTCGAGAAAATACAAAAAATGCCAGTCTAGTTATGTCAATGGACAAAGATTTTGTATTGATCCCAGGGCAAGATTTTGAGCAGCGTTACAAATCAGGACTGATCAGATTGGATAAAATTGGGCAGGTGACATACAGACTTAAAATATCCCAGTTGAAGCTGTCAGATCAAGGCGCATTGTATTGTGAGGCCCAAGAGTGGATACAGGACCCCGACCAGACCTGGTACTCCATAGCAACGAAAGCGTCAACAGAAACAAGTCTCACTGTGAAAGCTAAAGGTAATGTCATTCCCTTCATTTGATATGCGTTTATTTTTCAGTCTGCATGTAACCAGTTTATACCAGATAATATGACGAAAATACTTTTAACAATGTCGATATGTCAATGGCAATCATAAAGGTGCAATGTGTAACTTTTCTGATAGAGAGTCTGTCACCTGCATGTTTCTATGGAGATGTCACTGCTCTGCCTGGAATGATTTACAGCATGACGTTAAACAGCTCTTCTTTACATTTATTCACTTCCACGTGGTTTTATATCTTAAAAATACCTAGAAATCTGATTAGTAAATAGATAAATAAATCTGTTTTTTCTCCATGATGACAGAATGCCAAACTGTGAAACATTCTAGACCGGGGTGGCCATATGCGGCCCCTTAATCTTTTTAATCCGGCCAACTGAACTTGAAAAACAATAATAATAATGATAATTTTCAGTGTTTTAAAAGTCATTTCAATAAATAGTATATGCTTTCTACATATCCCATGTTATTTTGTTTTCTTATGAGGTGGATCATGAAAAAACTCCATCTGCTTTTGGTCCGTTTAGTTTAGAACCATTCGTGGCCCATGATTCAAAAAGTTTGCCCACCCCTGTTCTAGACAAAGCAATAACATCTCCATGGAGAAAAGCATTTGACTCTCTACCCAAAAGTTACACAATGCACCTTTGATGTAAAGATGCAGATAAAAGTAATTGTGTGAAACTATATTGTGCATGACATGACAATGCTCTGTCTACAGGATGTGTGCATTTTTTTTAATTGTGGTTTTTGTTTCTCCATTTTGTAGAGATACTGCTAGACTCTGAGTCGCTGGCGGTTACCATGTCTATACCACACTCTACCCTGCAGGAGGGGCAGCGACTCTCTGTGTCCTGTGCGGTGGACTCCCAGAATCTAAAGCAGAAATTCTTCTCTCTGGCCTGGCTACGTGGAGGAGTGGAGCTGGCTCGCGTTGGCCCCACTGGAGTTTTGACTGTGGGGCCCGATTACAGCAGCCGGGAGAGAGAGGGGGAACTCCGGGCTGGAAGGATTGGGGACAGGGATTATAGTTTGATTCTTCAGCCTGTCAGGACCAGTGATCAGGGAGAGTTTGTGTGCAGAGCATGGCCTGAGGAGCGTAGCAGCACTGGTGATTTCATACAGGGTGCAGCCCAGGACTCTAAGCCCCACGCTGTCAACATCGCTCTTACAGGTTAGTGAACTAAGCCTGGACTTGTTACCTGTTTGTCTCAATGTACTTGTCTCAGAAGTAACAAAAGAATTAACAACTTCCAAGGAGACAACCAGGGAAAAGTTTAAAGGTCCTATATTACCCAAAATTGATTCTTATGAGCTTTACGCCATGTTATAAAGTGGGTACATCCTCAAAAACATACCTGGAGTTGTATTTTGTTTCATTCACACTTTTGAGTAATCCTTTATTATTTGTCTACATCTAGAATGTTCAAAATTCTCTGCTCCACCTTGTGATGGCATGATGAAGCAGCAGCTACCTTTACCTTTTGTTCAGTACACACTTCCTGTATTACCACATGACATCAAGTTGGAACAGAATGTTTTCCGTTTTATGGAAAAACTCTGACTAAATATGCAGGATTTGTGTTAAACATGTGTGAATGAAACAAAACACATCTCTTGGTCTGTTTGTGATGAGGAAACTACATTATAATATAGATCAGAAAGTAGCGTAATATGGTCCCTTCAAGCAGTACACTTTTATTTAAGTATTGTATTACTTAAAATATCTTATCACTTTATCACCATTGATGTTATTTGTTTGTCTGCAATGTACCAAAGTATGACTTAAACTTATCTATCTTTCTGAAGAGCATCAGGACATGCTTGTGTATTCATGCATGTATATAACAAGAACATGATTCAGCATAGAAACCATCTGTTTGTTGTTCTTGCAGAAAGTGGCCTCTCTGTTGAAATGGCCAGCAGTGTGCAATGTGAATGAAGGGGACAAGCTGGTTCTGTCCTGCAGAGTGTCTGGAGCCACTGGGCAGCTCTCTGTGATCTGGCAGAGAGCCGCCCAGAGTGCCCCCTTCTCCAGTCTGGTCAGCCTAGACGAGGACGGGGTCATGGCCAAAGCTGAGGGCAGTGCGGATGTAAGGGTGAAGGCACTGCGCCCGGCCTCGGACCTCTTCACTCTGGAGCTGGAGGAGGCCACACAGGCTGCTGCTGGCCGTTATCAGTGTGAGGTTTCAGAATGGAAAACCACCAACAACAAGGCCAGCAGCCAAGTGGCAACATCCAGCGTGATTGTCACTCCTCTAGGTACTGTATGTTTCTTATCTTATGAAATAACTCTGTTTGTGGAAACTGTTTGTATGGACAGAGATATTTTGGGTTACAAAATAATAAATGATGGTTGATGATTTATTTGTGCTGTTGCCACAGACAAATTTGCGAGTGTGTCTGTAATTGGCCGAAATCACATAGCTTCAGAAGGAGACAAGGTGGAGCTGATTTGTCGTGTCAGACGGTTGAAACTGCCTCGAACTTTGACCTGGAGTGTTCGCCGTGGCTCCCCGACTCCAGACAACATCCTGACGCTGTACTCCAATGGCGCCATCAGCTGGTTTGGAGATCAACATCGATACCAGCTGGAAATAGTGAACAAAAACCAACAGGATGAAATGTGGTATCACCTGATCATAAGTAGTGCCAGCAAAAAAGATGCTGGAAGCTACAAGTGCAGTGCATCTGTGGTCCTGGATAAGGCCCCAAAAAAGCTGTCTTCCTCTGAACTAGCTGTTAATGTGGTGCGCCCAGGTAATATGTTACGAAATCCCGGGAGTCCTAACTGAGTTTCTATCTATCTCACCTCGCATTGTTTATTTCTTTCTTTTACAGCAAGCGATTTAACTCTGACCGCGGCACCATCCATCAGAGCAAATATCAACGCAGATATAGAATTAAAATGTTCTGTTTCCTCAAATAGTCTTGTGTTGTCTCGTTATGCTGTCACCTGGTTTCTAGAGGACACAAGTAATAAGACAGGAGGACATAAGATGATTGTCAAATCAGACCAAAATGCCTTTGTAACATTTGAGCCTGATCTGGAGCTTAATCAGAGGAAGCGCCTCAGTGTGAGCCGCCGAGCCGAGGGCCCAGAGTTTGTTCTGAGCATTCGTAACACGCGCTCCTCAGACAGAGGAGTCTACATGTGTGAGGTGGTGCAGTGGCAGCAGGACCCCAGCCGAGAGTGGCATCAGCTCCCTCCTGTCTCCAAAAGCACACAACTCTCTGTTATTGAACCTGGTCAGTATAACACAGAAGAGACAGATCTATCTATCTATGTCTATTTATCCATCTGTCCATCCGTCTGTATGTCTATCTAATGTCACTAATTACTAAAATGTCATTGCCTGTGCTTTAATGTTGCAGCCAGTGATCTTCATTTGAATACTACCACACCTGTTTTGACTGTAGAAGAAGGAGATGATGTGGAGTTGGAGTGTAACTTGGTCTCTGCAGTGGACAGTCCGTCTGTTTTCTACAAAGTCATTTGGCTGTACTCTGAGGCCAACGAGCCCATCAGGCAAGTCCCTCTGGTGGAGCTAGATCACACAGGACTGCTGTCGTACCCTGTGGACGAGGCCGTGAGGGCTCTGCAGGGGAGGCTGCGGCTGCTCAGGCCCGCACAGACCAGCTTTAACCTGGGCATTCACAAGGCTCATGAGCAGGACAGTGGGACATACATATGCCGTGTGGAGCAGTACCAGCTGGACCGAGACGGGCAGTGGCAACAGAAGGCTTCAGATGAGACCAGTCCTATGACACTCAATGTTACTGTTACAGGTATGTGTGGGACCGAGGGCTTACACAGTGACAGGTGTGGTCAGGCTCAAATACTATTGGCTCATATATCAGCAGCAGTGCGCCGTACTGCATTATAGACAGGGGTGGGCAACATAGATAAAATGAATATCTCAATATTTTTAGAGAATCAGGATGATGCTATTCAGACAATATCATGACAATCCAAAAGCATGTCGATAATTGTATTAGTTGATGTTTTAGTATCAGATAATGTGAAATTTCCCAAAAAAGTGCAGAAATATTACTTTGCACCAGTGTTTTGAAGTTTGCAACTTTTTCACTATAAACAATATACTATACTGTACGTTGATTCTCAAATTCAGCATAATTTTCTGCTCAGCTCTAATCATTGGCCTAATTGTTTTGAATAAGCTTAGACTTAGACAAAATTTATTGATCCACAAGGGAAATTATTTGGACACAGTAGCTCACACATCACAGCATGTTATAATAACAAAGAGCAACAATATAAATGGTAATAACATATTCTAAATAAGTCACAAGAGGCTGGTGTCAAATAAGGCATAATTATACAAATGTATATGCACAAATAAACATTAAAATAAAAAAATATAATAAAACAAATATATCTCAGCTATATAGGAAAAACAGTGCAAAGATGATATAATTATTGACAGGACATAGGGTTATCTTTTACATACTGTAAGTGTAGTTGCTGTCCTGTATCTCTCACTGACTATATTTCTTTTGAGTAGTGCAACCCATAAGAATAAAAGCCAGCATTAAAGATTTAATACTCTTAAATGGGAACAATAGAAAATATATGAATAAATTAATAAAAAAAAACACTTAACGGCATCTCTTGTCTCAACAGAACGCAGTCTCCTCATTGAAAAAATTGACAAGGAGTTCAACATCAGCACTTCCCAAAGCCTCACTCTCCCCTGCCACATCATGACACAGTCCAGCCCCCTGTCACAGTTCCAGATCACATGGTTCTGGCGGAAGGATACAAACTCCGAACCACGCCCTCTTTTTACATCTTACCGTAACTCCACCTTACATTACTGGTTTGGGAAGAGTGATGAGCAGCTAAGGTTTGGCCACCCACTCACCAATCTGTTCAACTTAACCATCGTGAAGCCCAGCCCCGCAGACAGTGGGGAGTACTTTTGTGAGGTGGAGGAATGGGCACCATCTTTGTCCAATGGGTGGAGAAAAGTCGCTGTGGAGAAGTCGGGTTCTTTAACAGCAAGTGTTCAAGATGAAGGTGAGTAGATAGGGGCGAGGAAGTGCACAGTCGTGAATCAGCTTTCTATTGAGTCATTTATCCTAATCTTTTAATTCATCATTGCAGTGAGTCAAGTTTGTATCGTGGGTCAGCATTTCAAATCTCACTCGGCCCTATCTATTACAGTTTTGCACAGAATTGATATTTTACAGTGACATCGTGCTGGAGGTGTTCTACATGGATCTCTTATGAGAGAGAGAGAGATTTTATTGATCCAAAGGGAAAATCAAGTTTTGCTGTCTCAACATTTACACTGCGTCCTCTCAGTCTCCTTTGTGTCAAAGGGCTCAGTGCAGTTTAACATGAGGACTGGTCAGGTTGTGTCAGCAGATCTGTGTCAGGACATTTTGAGGAGAGGAGGAGTCAAAAGCAAAAGTGCCCTCCTCTGTGTCCTGCAGCATCACAGCAGTGTCCTGAGGGGAACCAAGTGAACACAACAGGAAAGGCCTCAGTCTTACTCCACTCTAGTGTTTTGGTTGATGCTGAAATTGACCATTTCCTCAAAGTATTTCCTCTAGAAGGTCTTCTGAAACATTTGCTGCCACATATGGTTTGGCAGCAAAGCCTGTAGCATCTCAAATGTCCATAGCTCGCGTCTTGCACTGTCTCCTTGGATACTAGAAAAACATTTCACAAGATCCACCAGTTCCTCACTTGTGTCCTCTGAACTGCACATGCTGTACTTCTTAGTTAAAATCCCATAATTTACTGTTAAAAACTGAGCTCAAAACCCAAAATATTTTGTTGCTCAGTGTGTGAGCCGGGTAGCCATGGTGGAACTTTAAGGAGTTACCATGGTGACACAATGCACACATTAGCAAACACTGTAAAAAAAAAAAAAAATTAAGATTGCCTGAAAAATCAAAAAAGAAAAAATAAATAAATAAATAAAATAAAATAAAATGCAAAATGTATTTAGGAATCTATGAATTCGATTTTTGACAAAAACGGTGAGAGATCAGCACAAATCGCCTTACCTGTTGTAGTTCCAGCTAAGTCGGTTCTTTATGGTCAGATTGTGTTAAATTAATGCAGAGATTAAAGTTTAAAAAAAAGCCTCAGACAGAGTAGAGCCTACATTTAGCATCACACCCCAGGCAATGTTGATTCTGCAAAGTATCAATACTCTGTGCTCCACAAACCTGCTTCACCAATCTTCTGTCCTTTCAACTGATGACTTTCACATCTTTGTAACTAAATAATGGATTCACGTTCTGAAGCATACATGAACATATTTTCACTTTTGTTTATTTCTGTCAGTAGAGAAGTCATTGAACTTTAAGACAATTCTGTTTCATGTGAATAGGCCAAGTAAAAATAGATATTCTACAAAAAACAGGTCAATAAATCAACAACTTGGTAAATTCGACTATAGAACTCTGAAGTCCTAATGGTCCTATATTTTGCAAAATTGACTCTTGTGAGCTTTAAGTCATATTAGAAGATTGTTACCTCTTCAAAAACATACCTAGAATAGTGTTTTGTTTCTTTATTTTAGGGTACACTTATTAACATCTAACTACCTGTATTAGCATAGTTCCAGATGGTTAATTTGTCATTAATTTGTATTTATTCAGCCTTTATTAATGTCTAATTCCCCATAAGCTTATTCTGCTATTACTTGGACATTTACAAACACTTTCCTATTAATACACTCGCTTAATAGTATGATACTGAACAATTTTTGTCAATGAATTATGATTCTAATAAGCTTTTGGTAATAAGCGTGTTGTTAAGAACTATTTGCACACGAAATGTAGTTTTTACTTATTTGCACTTAATAAATTCAGCTTACTCTTATGCATTAAAACACTCTCTATTTGGTGTTAATAGAGTCCAACTAGCCATGATTTAAGTAAGCTAAAATTATTAAGTGCAAATAAGTAAAATCTACATTTCTTGTGCAATAGTCCTTAACAACACACTTATTACCAAAAGCTTCTTAGCACCATAATTCATGCACAAAAATGGCTTTGTATCAAACTAATAAGCAGTAATAAGGAGAGTATTAATAGGAAAGTGTTTGTTAATGTTTAATAGCAGAGTAAGCTTATGGGGAATTAGATAAATAAGGGTTCAATAAATACTAATTAATGACAAATTAACCATCTACAACTATGCAGATTTCCTTTATCATCAGTTTGTCTACGTCTCCAGCTCAAAATCCTCTATTCCACCTTGTGATGTCATGAAGCGGTAGTTTTCAAGTTAACGGCGACCTTTTACATTTAATTTAATTGACAATGGCAATTCTAGGGCTGATGTTTCTAGTGAGGGTGTGGGGAGTGTGGAGGTGGAGGTGTATGGAACAAGTTGAATCACTTCCTGAATTAGCAGATGACATCAAAAGAGCGTCTTCTGTTTGAAAGATAAACTCATACTAAATATGCAGGGTGTGTGTGTTAAATGCGTGAATGAAACAAAACAAAACCCCAGGTATGTTTTTGTCAAGGAACATTATAACATAAGATATATAAAATAAGAAAATATATAGGTAACATAGGACCTTTATACTATTCATGGGTTTCAGAATGATGATAACTTAGGTCTGTTGCTATATTGATTAACAAATCCAAATTAAAATCTTATATTATCTGAATGGGAAGTAGTCCTCTAAATGTTGCAGATAACTGAAGGTGGACTGAAGGTTGAATGCACTCAATAAGATTTTTTTGTTTTGTTTACACAGGTGGAATCTCTGAGCCTGTGTGTGACTCGCCTACCTGGATTGGAGCATTCTTTGGTGTGACGGTTTTATCTTTGCTGGTGATTCTGCTGCTGGTTCTGAGGATGTGCAGAGGCAACAATTCAGCGAAGAAGAAAGAGGAGTCATTATGGACTGAGAATCACCAACTGAACCCAAAAAACTGATTTTTACTCTGAAGAAGAAAAAAAAACCTAGGACGCATTTCAATTTTTGGTACCACTTTATACGAACTACCATCTTCCTTAGTCTTTATAAAGCATGAACATAGACTTAAAGGCACACTATGTAACTTTTTGGTTCAGAGTTCATCACCTGCTTGTTTCTGTTGTTATGTCATTGCCTGGAATATTCCACAGTATGACATTAAACCATTCTACTTTACATTTACTGAGTTACAGGTGGTTTTATAGCTCAATAATACATAGAAAAACAGGTGTTCTGACTGTGAGCGGGGGCACCTCTCCACAGATCTGACCAGTAACTTGGCTTGGTTTTGTCTCCATGACTCCATGACAATAGAAAGTTTTAATACCATACTCTGAAACATTCCAGAAAAAGCAATAACATCGCCACAGAGAAAAGTTACAGAATGCACCTTTAATAATTAAGATGGGTTGAGAGGGGTTTGGGCATTAATTAGGTAGTTACCAGAGACAGGGACTTGCAGGTCAAGACTTGGACTCGTGTCAGACTTGAATCACTATTGTTAGGACTTGAGACTTGACTTGATAAAATGGACTAAGACTTGGGGCTCGACTTGGACTTGAAGGACATTGACTTGGGACTCGACTCGGACTTGAGGCCTGTGACTTGAGAAGTAGACAGAAACACTGTAGACAGAGATAGGCAGAAGCACTTTTAAATCTGAATTATTTTGGTAATGATTCACTCTAAGATCTTGTCAAGACATTTAAAAAGGAAAAAATTGCATTTCTATAACTCTTATAAACTTTATAAATGCTCATATATATAAATATACTATCATTTTTAAGTACAAATTATCTTAAAAGTCATAAATCTAAACTATATTTGGCACTTTGGTTTAAAGATTTGAAATGACTTGAAGCTCAAAGCAGATGACTTGGACTTGACTTGGACTTATCGGCCAGTGATTCGAAACTCGACTTGCCTGTATTTGACTTGGGACTTGACTCGGACTTGAGGTCAAAGACTTGAGATTTACTTGAGACTTGCAAAACGACGACTTGGTCCCATCTCTAGTAGTTACTAACCTGAATCATTCGTAATACAGGTTTATAGATTTGTTCATTATGAATTTCATCTTTCTTTATGCTTTATTATGGTTATTAAAAGTATAGTTCATTTAAAGTCTTATCCACATTTTTATATTGTTTTTGTGTATATATATATATATATATATATATATATATATATATATATATATATATATATATATATATATATATATATATGTTTGTTAAAAAAACCAAACAAAAAATAGCCAAGCTTTAAGAGATTTTTTTGAGGATGCTCCCAGTTCTGTGACATTTTTATGTATATGTATTTTTCTAAATAAATTATTTAAAAAAAAAAAAAAAAGGTTAAATAAATGAAATAATAATAAATGAATGAATGAAGTGGTCTTGAATTGTTGAGAGGTTTACTAATGCCAATGAACATAAAATGGAAAAGGCTTTTTGGTTTAGAGCTTTTTGAAAAATCCAAAGCTTCTTAGTGTTCACGTTGGACAGTTACACAGTGAACCAGATCTCCTCTCAGGATTACCATTTCAAAGCAACACAGTGTGACAGACAGTCTCCAGTTTTATTCCGCCGATAGCGTGTCTCTAGTGTGAAAAGTCAAACAGATGCATGCGAGAGAGAAGCTGAAACCAGGAAGTGGTTTGTGAGAACACAGACAATCAGGTTAGTAAATGTGGTCATCATGTTTTTTCACATGTCGAATTTAAGCAACTTACTTTTGGCCAAATTAGGTATGTTCTCAGAGGGAGTGTGTTTTAGTTATGCAAAAAGCAGAGTAAAAGTAAAAAGTAACACAGTTTTTAAAGGGAACACAGCACGTATTTTATTATCATATCAATAAGTTTACCAAACATGTGGACTTACTGAAAATAATAAATTTCTTATTGATAAAAGTGGGTCAATAATTTACAAAGGTGAAGACTGAACCCTAGAACTTGCTCTGTTATCTATGAATTTTTTGAATTTAGAAGAAAAACTTAAGCAAACAGTTTTTCAGTTTCAGTCACTTTCACCTTTTGCTGAAAATCAAACACCTAAACAGGATCATGAACGCCCGTGTTAATCATCAATTCTTGAATTTTTTGACTTCTGACTCATCTTAAAACTTGCATGACAGTGTTTGCTAATGCGTGCGTTGCGTCACCATGGCAACATCTAAACATTCCCCCATTAGAGATACACGTAAACACCCCCAGCGTGATGTCACCGCAAAATATCAATAGAATCATTCTTAGCATTGGCCTTGGCATTTTCATTTCCTCAGCCAATTTTCAATCTGACTCTTCTTTTTCTTCTGAATCTTAGGACAACATCTATTTGCTACACTTTTCTTTGTGTGCCTGCACCGTTCCTATCAATGTTTAACACTCCATCTGCGGCGCACGACCAGAATAGAATCCATTTCCATCTCAGAACCAGGCCTAGACAATGCATGTTACACCCTGACAGAGAAAGCCTTTTGTCTCGTGCTTGTTTCCCCACTTGTGATAGAAAACTCCAGTTAAGTGTTACCCTTGCGTTACACAGAGGACCTGAGAGAGGAGATGGGGCATTTTTATATATATTTTTTTCCACACAGATGCTGCAGTAGCTTCCACTTAGCTGCATTGCTTTTAACTTTACCATCTATCCACTCCCCTGTGTTTCCATGGCGATGCCTGTCAGAGCATACAAAGAAACACTCAATACGGGAGACAAACAACAAAAGTCCAATGGCAATGCGCTGGAGATGCTCTGGCCTTCCTCCTGCCCTTGTTAACAGCTGCTATAGACTCTCATTCACAGCAGTGCACAAACTCACCAACTCAAACATTTGGATTTTAGCCCAAGTATCTAGTGTTTAATCTAATGATGCAAATATGCTCTGACGCCAGCATCTTTTCATGTCTGTCTTACAAACAAGAAGGTCAGAAACTTTCAGGGTAATTTCAAAACGCACATGTAAACCACTTCCCTCTCAGTGAAGCCAAACATCATGCTGATCTGAATAAAAAAATATTGGGTAAGTCATATGTGTTTCCGTCTAGTTCAGCCTATAGGCAAATATCAGTACTTCCTGTTCTGTCTGGTGACGTTATTACATGAACAGACGTTATTACAAAATGGGTCAGAACGGTCAAAACAATGTTGAAATTGCATGAACTTCCCTAATTTAATATTTTTACTTTTTTTTTTTACTTTTACACAAGTTTTGATCAAACTTGAAATAACTTTGTGTTATGCAAGGTCTCTAGGATACATTCAGCAGCAACAATATATAATGTTGTTTCCTCATCAAAAACAAACGTGTAGTTGTGTTTAGTTTCTTTTTTTTTTTTTTTTCATCTATTTTTCATAAATTTTTAGGTTGAGTTCTTTTCTAAAATTGAAAACGCTCTGTTCCACCCTGTGATGTCATTATGTCTTTTTTTTTTTTATTTTTTTTTTTTTTTATAATTGTGGAATATTTGTATAATTCCCAGCTCAGGAATTGTGAATCTCTACAGAATTAAAGGTAAACGATACCTGTCAGAGGTGGGACCAAGTCGTCGTTTTGCAAGTCTCAAGTAAGTCTCAAGTCTTTGACCTCAAGTCCGAGTCAAGTCCTAAGTCAAATACAGGCAAGTCCAAGTCGAGTCTCGAGTCACAGGCCCATAAGTCCAAGTCAAGTCCAAGTTGTCTGCTTTGAGCTTCAAGTCATTTCAAGATTTTTGCAATTTGTGACTTTTAAGATAAATTGTACTTTAAAAAATCATAGCATATTTACATGAGTATTTATAAAGTTTATAAGAGTTGTAGAAATGCAAATTTTTTCCTTTTTAAATGTCTTGACAAGATCTTAAAGTGAATCATTATAATAAGAATAGAAAGAATTCAGACTTAAAAGTGCTTCTCAAGTCTTCTCAAGTTACAGGCCTCAAGTCCGAGTCAAGTCCCAAGTCGCTGACCTTCAAATCCAAGTCGAGTTCCAAGTCTTAGTCCATTTTATCAAGTCAAGTCTCAAGTCCTGAAAATAGTGACTCAAGTCTGACTCGAGTCCAAGTCACGACCTGCAAGTCCCCACCTCTGGTACCTGTTGACTTGAAAACTACCGCTTCATGACATCACAAGGTGGAACAGAGCATTTTGAGTTTTGGAGATGCAGACAGACTAATAAAGCAGATTTACTCAAATGTGTGAATGAAACAAAACACAACTCTAGTCATGTTTTTGATGAGATAACAACATATAACATGACTTAAAGCTCATGAGAGTTAGTTTAGGACCTTTAATATAGCTTTTAACAATACAGGGTAATTTTTTTTTTTCCTTTTCAAATACTAAAAGGTGGTGAAGAAGGTTAATGCTTTTGCTTTCATTTGATTTATTGTTGGCTCGTACGACAAGAATGTCACCTGTATTGTGAGTGGACACACCTTGAGATTACAGAACATAGTCACTGTTTCTGTTGGACTGTCACTGTGAATGAATGAGGAAACAGTTGTATTCAGGGAGATTAATTCCTTTGGCCTAGTTTTTTATCCTTTATTACTTCATTTACAGCTGCACTTTGAAGTAGCCTACTTACTGGTGAAGTAGTGGTGATAGGTGATTCAATGTTTTACACTAGGACTATATTTTGACGTAATTTGGGCCCGAATTACTGTACAAGTATTAGATTTATCTGGAAGAAACAAGGACACAAAACTAGGCCGTAAGTGTCTAAAGCAAATTAGAATGGTATTTATGGTAATTAAAAAACATAAATAAGTATCATAACATATACTTTAGTTTGAAGGTACATTGTGAAACTTTTCTGGTGGAGGGTCGGGGTCCTTTACCTGCTCGTCTTCATGGAGATGTTATTGCTTTGTCTAGAATGTTCCATAGTAAAGCTTAAACCTATGCATCTCAAGGGACTATTGGACGGGTCATCAAACTAAGGCCTGCGGGCTGACTCTGGTCCTCCCCGCCCCTTTGACCAGCCCCCCCATCCCCTCTGCCTCCCACCACTTGAACTGGCCCTATGAGGCAATCCTCAAAAGTTCTCATGGCCTGTTTTTTTTATTACTTTTTGCAAATAACACATCTGCATCTTGTATTTTGTTGATTTTTTTTTTTAGTTAAAGTGTAATGTATTTATTACATTTGCTGCCAAATTTTCATCACCTAAGTCTGAGATCAAACAGTGATAGTCAACA